TAGATTGGAAACTTGTTCGTGATGCATCTCAAGAACAGTGTCGTTCTTGGCAAACAATTACTTTTCCCTTACAACTGGTAACATTTATTCGCGTTGTTGGTACATATAATACGGCGAATGATGTAAGTTTTTGGTTGTATCTGTCGCCATATGATTCCGTGATGTTATAACGTTTAAAGGTAAAATAGTTGAATTTGATGACAAATTTATCACTGTCAATCACATACATGACTTCAGATGGTTTATTATTTATCCAACTTGTAGGCATTCAGTGAATGAATTAAGGTCTTATTATTCGATAGTATAAACATTGAAGTACACCAACTGTAAGATCACCATCCCAGCTGCCGTAAACCTATACATCGATTTAAGAAGCAGAGTACAATTTTTTCTTTGGTATTACATGTGTAATGTATGAGATTTTGCGTAACTATTTGGTTGCACATTTCCCCTTAAAATATTCATTATACTTTATACTGTAGTTTTGACATAGAACTACAATGATGCGAACACCATTTCATATGAAACGGCAACCGATAAAGTATGTAGGACATAGTGTCAGAAGCAGGGCTAGTATCAACGAGATGTGACTGGATAGACTTAGTAATCTCCTTCACTTTACCTTTCATCAACCGCACCGGTTTATCACATCGTATTCAAGAACATTCGCTGATGTGGGTTTGGTGATTGACGAGGTAAAGAAGACCACACCTAATTGATACTGATCATACTGTCGAATTTCAATCAGCCTTTTCAGTAATTGATGTGTAAAATATGTTGCATGAATCTATGTATAATAGAATGATAAAAATTTTGCCGTAAACCTAATCCATGCTTATCAACAATTTCATCACTGTAAACAGCTTCTCCCAAGAACAAATTGGAGCCATTGATTATCGACAACGAGTATCATTAAGTCGTAAATAAGAATGAAGTTATCTCTTCATCATAAGGCTCTCTAGTAAGCCATGCTTCTTCAAGGTAGTTTCAACGCAGATTGACATCGAGGAGAAAAAAATTGAAAGCAAAAGAGTACTAGACAACTCTTCAGCCCTGATTTAAGACTCCCAATTAGTACCTAACAACGGTCCTGTAATCTATCATGTCTCATAACCGACGTCTAAACATTCTACCGGTGGATTAAAACTGAATTGTCCTTATCTTCCGAATACTGATTGTTCGTTATCCAACATGATCATTATTCAGTTTTGTCAGTAGATATCTATACTCACTTTCAAATCTTTTAACCCTTTTTATGTCAAAAAGTCCATCCTGAAGCCAGTCAGTTTGTTAATTTCCGGAGGAATTGATTGATTTCAAGGCTCTCTGTTTTCTAGTGGCTTTCTAGGTGATCTCACTCCATAGTGTAAACTACCTTGAGATGACTCATTTTGCTGGAGAACCATTATACTTTTTATATAGTATTTTCTACTTATTCCGATGATATTCCCTTCTGTATTCTTCAGGTTATCATAATAAATTATAATTTTCTATCTCAATATAGGTATTTCATTTGGTCCATTTAGAATGTCCGTATCCTCCAGCAGAGACTACAGAAAGTGATACAGAAGCACATGGTGAAAAATTACTGGGTCTGACTACAAGTGTTATGCCAGAACCTAATAATGATCGAGGAAATATTGTGATACCTTTGTCATCTAGAGTTAACCAACACGATAGTAGTAATGATAATGTCGGCAGCGATGAGTATCAATCACGGAACTCTCATCAGTCACCAGTTATCGGAGAAATAACGCAAGACCGTGTACTTCGCGATTCCGACAGCATTCGATCTGAATCAAGTGTTCATGATACTAATGATCAGTCAAATGTATTCAGAATGCATTACAATCAACGTCCTAACACGATGACTACTACAATTGCGGATTACGATTTAATGTCTGACTTGAATACGTCCTCTCCCTCTACTACTGCAGATGGTGGTAATATTGCTTTGACAGCATCAACTATAGCTGTATCATCAACGCCAGCGACAACAATATCTGATCAGCATGGTATGGCACCTGTAGGTCAAGATAGCCTACCACATTATTCATTTCATCATGCATGAACATGGATGGGTGTTTTTTTGTTTATGATCGCCTCTCTTTCAGTTTGAAATTGTTATTTGAACCATATTGTTCTACGGAGTATTTTTAATTAAACTGATTCTCCCGCTAAATTCAATTCTGATGAAACTTAGTATGATGCAAACAACATATCTGTTTTGAAATCCCTCTTGGTGGGTAGATACTGACCACCTTGCCAATTGTAGGTTGGAAAATGAGTTTCAGAAATAATCATATGCATATCTAAGCCTAGCGAATTTCCACCCTATGTAAACGGTACTTTAAAAACTAAGTGTAACACAGTCTAGATTCAGTTGAGCATCTCCTTAATGCCTAATATGTTACAAGAAAATCAAGGAGTGCGTTAAAATAGAAAGGAAAAGTTAAGGGAGATACTAACTAGAATTAATTTATTTCTAGCTATTCATTTCCTAAGTAGCACAATTACAAGCATTCAGTTCCCTCCCTACTTGACCCATACCAGAAGACAACAATTTTGTATATCAGCAGCATATATTTTTCTAAGCACACTAAAACTTCCCAAATTCTGACCACAGATAACTCCAACATACTCAAATCCATTCATGGCAATTGAAAATTACTGATAATGTAACAGTATTGACGGGCTAGAATAATCATAACTGTATCTTTGTGTAAACATTTGAACTTATTTGATTGTTGAGTTTTTGAGGCTGACCATTCAGTAAATTTACTAAACCTCCGATGATTCACTCGTACAATACTTGTTATTAAAATCCTTTGCATCTTCTTGTGGTACCATTTCAGGGAATCTGCAGGTTCTCGAACCCTGAAAAGCCAAAACAATAAGTGTTAATTGATAAAGAAATATGACTTCAACTATCTTAACCAGGGGAAACTTGCATTTCTTATAAATAAACAGTCTGTGTATTCATCCTGGATAATCTCGTGCCACCATGTGTGAAAACACTTGCGAATGATGGTAGGAAACTAAAGATTGAATTTAGGCTGTGTATTGTATGCACAGAAAGTTTATTCCGCCTGTAGAGCTTAAATAATGCTATAAGAAGAGTATTTACAGAGTGAGATTTTGTCACTTCATCCCGCAAGGTTTTCATCAGTCTCATATAGACTAGGTAAATTAAGAATCAAATTACAAATGTCAGTACTTGTGAAACCGCTTCACCTTAATCAGTTGCTAGATGGGTTAAGTAAAAACAAAGATGTACTCTAAAAAACGCTTCAAGTCAAGGAACGTATAGAATAAGCAGATTTTCGAAACATTGAGTTTGAGGAGTGATATTACAGCAGAAGGAATAAGGCAAACAGAAATACAGAATCAACATAAAACCTCACACAGAGGTGTATTGGTTCAAGTTATCACAATTCAGAGTAGTATATATAGTCAGCTGTATAGACAAGGAGTGACATCAAAGTGGACAAAGTAGTGTGAGAGAATAAGCAATCTGAAGATAAAGGTTAGTGCAAATATTCAAGCTTTAGAAGAAGTCAAAAAGTGAATACATCTGCACCACTGTGACCAGTTTTCATCCATGTCATAAAGAGTTCTCAACCACTTATTCCTATCGTCTCAGGGTCTCCAGCTAGGTAGTCTACATCTCCCCCTACATGGCTCAGACCAACAGTCAGGGACAGTCATAGACTAGTACCAGGCCTTGGTCTGCCCATCTTGAACCTTCCTCGAACCGAATCGAGCTGGCCTTGGCATGGCACTTCAAGGAGGAGGACAGTGGCTTGGCATGCCAAGTACATTTCCAATCCATCCCAGTCGACTAAGGTTTACAACCTCATCGACTGACTTACCTATATTTCCTAGTACCCTTCATCTGACTTGCACATTGCTCACACGCTGATTCCACCAAACGTGAGCAACGCTACGAAGACACCTATGATCAAGACCCTGTAATCGCTTTATGTCTTCTACTCATAACGGCCATATCTCACAGCTGTATAACAGGAGAGAATGGATTGCAGTGCAGTATACTCATCTTTTAATATGTAGTCGGATATCTCGTCAATGTGCATCACATGTGACGCAAGTTGGCGAGTGCCGAACGCACCTTCTTTAACCGATCTGAGATTCCGTCAGCAACCAGCCCGTTCGGGCTTATGCAACTGCCGAAGTAGGTGGAGTGGTCGACACATTCCACCACTTCACTGTCTATCATTAAACTGGGATTACTTGCAGCAGACGAGTCCTGGAGCCCCGTATTAAATGTGACATGTGTGAACCGCATGGTAGCCAAACATCCTCAGATTTCTGCTCAACGCGTTTAGAAGAGGCTGCATTGCGTCATCATCTTCACCTGACATGACAACATGGTTTAGATACTCCAGGTCAACCAGATGCCCATCAGGAAGTAGGTCAATCCCTGTGAAGTGACGTGTCCCTAAGCTGATGTCCATTAGTGTATGTATAACGAAGTTCATTTAGGAACGATGACAATGAGCATCCCAAGCAGATACCAACAGTTGTCATCAATTCACATGACAACTCTGCATAAGCCCTTACACGTCTGTGTCAGTTTGCGTAGAGAGTTTTGATTAGTGTTACATACTTGTTCGATACTCCCTTCATCGTCAGACACTGCTACAACACTTCACAGTGGAATGTCGCCATCGGGCTAATAAATATGTCGTGTCAGCCGCTGCCCGCCCGGTAGGTATGCCTGTGTTCCAGAACCTGCTGGAGGGTGGGAATGTGATAAATACACCCTCATCAAATTTTGAAACCTGCCTGGTTTTCTCGAACACAATATTCGTCAAACTGATTCGCCTATGATTTCTCCCTCCTCCTATGTATGTGTGGTATGTTCAGAGAAGTAGGCTAGTCTGACGGTGCTGCCTCTGATTCCCTACACTACCTAGTGCATCTATTACTCTAACCAATGATTTCCTACTTCCATCCTTGAAAACCTTGGATGACAGACTGTTATTTGCTGGTGCTTTGTATCGGTTTAGGATCGTTACAGCGTTCTGGACTTGAAGGAGGGTTGGAGGACCGACATCTATTTGCCATTTAGGTTGAGGCTGGATGTTGGGTAAGTGAAGCGTTTCTGTGTAGGAGATGATTAGTGCTTGGAAGTGTTCTGCCTAATGTTCTAGCCGTGTATCTTGGGAGGTTATCAGCATCCCATTGTTTTCGGTGATGGTTTTACTCACGATCATTTTTTTCTTCTTGGTATCCTTATTAAGCTTATATATATTTACCGAGTGTTGCATACCACTGATGCCTTTCCCGTCTCATGATTGACGCGAAAACTCTTGGTCACTTTATGTTTGAGTTGCTTTCGTTCTTCATCGTGTTAAGAGACAGGTGAACCTAGTCTTCTCAGAACAATCATTTCGGATAACATTTGTTAACCTTTGGTTTGAGGCTACCAAGTGTCTTTATCTCTGTTTCTATGCTGGTTCAAGATGACGCCGGGTTTCCTCAACATGAGCATTGCTGTAATGTTGAGATAAATACCTCCGTAGATAGGTACTTGGCGTCCTCGTCTTCCAATTGAGCATAGCCATGCTTTAATGTCGCATGGTTTCTGTGACTGGTAAGGCGCCATGTGGACAATTTTTTTTTCCTAATGCCGTAAGTTAATGCCGACCAGAACTAAATGGTTTTCAGGACAGAATAGCCACTGATGACCATCGAGTTTAAAAAGCTTGTTAATATCGACCATGTTAAATTGGTGGATGATGGTAGCCCCTCTGTTGCCCATCAGGAGATAATAAATGAAGCATACGTTTGATCAAATCATGTTAATGAAAACCGAAAGGTAATTACAGAGAGTTTTCGGAGTAATGTAACATGTGTTGCCCTATCCAGGCTTTTTCAATATTACTATCGGTAGGTGAAGGCAAAGTGGAGACGTGGTTGAGGAGGCTAGTTTATTTTTACTTGTGTCTTGTGTGCTACTTGAAGCGTGTGAGTGGTTGAGTTTTCACTGTTTTCCACACCGTAGGAGATTACAAAGTACCCGAAAAAGAAGAGATGGTGTGTAACCGCTGGTTTCACGGGGCATCTGCTTGAGGCCTGTCACAGCCTTTTGGCAAGTTTAAGATTTTGGCTTTTTGCTTTTGAATTAGACTGTGAATCCCTTTTTGCAGGCATCGGCATGCCGCGTGGGGGTTGGTCTGGGAGAATGAATGAACAGCTGGATCAAAAGTGCTGTGTCAAAAGTATGCTTGATTGCAGAGTTATAACCACCATGTATTGAAAACAACCCATATGCTCAGTTAAAGTGGACATGATTATAAGTGTCTGCCAGTTTGTATGTACATGCGAGATCAAGTACATTTGAAGGACAACGGGACGTTTCATTATCTGGAACATGTATCTCGTTAAATATAAGTCCAAAGTGTTAAGTTTCTTTAAACCACCAGTTAATGAACAGGAGAGTCAAAAAAACATACCGGAGACCCTGACATCAATGAACATAAAGAAGGTTTCAAGTACAATTCGGTCTACTGGCTATTTTTACCATCAAATGAATTCAAACCAACTTGTGTATTTAAAATGAATCGGTTGCCGAACGCTGTTTACTTTGGCATAAATGACTGTATTTTTCAATGAAGACTACTTATTCTGTCAAACCCTCCTCTAAACTTGCATTTTATTGCTTTTCTTATCCCCTGGAATTCCGAGTTGTTGTGAACTCCTATCATTCATTGTTTATTTGTTTTGTTTGTATACAGTTGGTGGAAAATCTCTGAAATAAACTGATATTATCTGAATACTGTTGTCATAGTATCATTCAAACCTTTTAGAAATTCATAATTTAGCCAGAAGTTATATTATGATTATGAACAACAATTTATGCTCGAAACGTCACCATATAAATAATGCTGTATCACTCACTGTACATTATAAATCAAATAAACAAATCTAATATGGAATTACATTCTAACACAGTGCCCGAATTTTACACTGTACGTGTGATCTCTCTGTAAAGATGGTAATAAAAAGCGTCATTTGTGAGCATTCTGCAGAAACTAATCAGGATTTTCACCGTGTGAAGTACGTCTACGAAGTGATTGGCTTACTCCCTCTGTCACTAGGACCAGAGACATCAAACTGTCTGATATGGTTGACTGATTATCTACGCAGTATATCATACTGTTCCATTCGTTATGTGTACTACGAAGTAGTGGAACATTGAATATTTTTATATTTACTTATAGTACATTTGGAACATTGAATCTCATCAGCTTATAGTTTCCATATCTCATACTTTTGTAACCCTTTCATAGTATACGAGCTGGTTTTTGGAGCTACCTGGAAACCTTGGGAGTAAAGGGAATAACGCATTGGCCAATACTATTATATATAGGTAGGGAAGATTACCTTTATACGTGTTCCACTTGAACTGTTACAGTGCATATCAATTGGTGAATTCCTGTAAAATCTCTCCAAATTTTGAACATTTTTTTCATTCCATTCAACAGAGTTTATTGTATCCATTATGTCAACATAATTTTCTGCACTACTTATGCTATATTCGTAAAGGTGGAAGAATAAAATTATACAAATTTACTTTATAAGACTTTAACAAAATCCATGAATGTAAATACCAAAACTGAAGAAGGTTAACAAAGATTTCACTACTCAATCTAGCTGGATTAATTAGTGGAATTTTTTCCAATAAACATTCTTTGAAAACGTGATAATACTTGACATCATTCATAATACTAGCTACAGTTATCCATAGTATCCTTGGTTTACAACTTTAAAATGTTGAACACTACTCTTTGTAGATTAATATTTCTGATCACAGCTTGTGTTTTAGTATGAGCTAGCCTACATCATAGGTGTTGGATAAAAGCAGCTAATTAACTTCGAACCAAGGTCTGAGTGTTTTCTGATGATCAAAGGGCACTACCTCAACCTCTGATCTTATAGCTTCGTATTGGTGAGGTTTATTTTTGATAGGTCTTAGTGAGTTTCCCGTTTTCCATGATATTGAAAACTAGTTTGTCTGCTACCAACAAAACTGAACCTGGGACATCTGCCTAACGGTCCAAGTTAGCATACCTTACATAATCACATCAAGGTGGGAGGCACACAGATGACATAGGATAGAAGAAATAATCTAAATATCGCAAACAGTACAACAAGCGACCAAAAAATAACCATATTCCTAATGATAATTATGATGAAGATAGTGGACGGATGGATCTAGGCCACTGACATTGACTCTGAACCATATCGTATACAGTGGTTTTGGTTACCACATAAACGACAACCAGGAACTTCCCTGCGTGACTCACACCTCCACCTACCTCATAGACTGATGCCGTGTTTTAGTTTGGTTGCCTTTAACCTTCTTCGGTTAACATTGTTAGATAATAAAAAAGTGATTAGGCATCCCAAACATATGCACGCTGCAATCATCTGGATAGATAGAAATTCACAACCTAACCAACTGATACACTTGCTTTATCCAAACTCTATGACTTTTCTACAGTATTGGCAAGGTGGTTCTTTGACACATGGTCGATGCTCCAAAGGCAATCATGAACGAAAAACTGGTATTATCACGTCCTCCACTTTTATATTGGCCATCTTTCACAGCCATGTACTGGGACACGACAAATTGTATGGCATTAGACTCAGCCCTTAATAGGCAATCGGATATCACCTAGACACAGTAAGTAAGTGAAGTTAGCAAAGCCAAGCGAGCAGTTCGTGTTCGTGCAGAGGTCTCGCCGGTCACTGACCCACCGTGGTTGGTCCATCTTCGTAAGTGAGCGAATTCGTCACTTCACTCCTAGTTGTCAAACAATTCACCAGCCCGGGAGCAGCTGTTTGCATTTGGGTAGCGAGAAACGCATCCCAGACATTCTCAAATTGTTACTCAAGGTGTCCAGAAGACGTTGCATCTTGTCAGCCTCTTCATTTAAGAGGCCTATTTCATCTGCTTACTCTAGATCTACTATGGAATCTGTGGATATACATGAATTCCCATAAAGTTAAATGAATATAGTGAGTCTTCCATATATCCGTGCATGATGAGATTAAATATGAATGTAGCGAGTTTACATCCCTGATGCACACTACTCAATATCCACAACTCGTCTGGTACTTCGCTATACTCTCTAATATCCTCTTGTATATTCGAATACAGAGCCTTGACTGATAGATCCTGCCACGAGATCTCTCGACCGAAAAAGTTGAATGCTGCTTTCTTGTCAAGGAATAAATCTCATGTTGAGCACCGGTAAGTGTATATTGTTTTCACGAACTTCTCAGAGGGCGTATATGTGGTCTATGCACTCACAACCACATAAGAAGCCTACCTGGTATATTTCAGGTTTGTTGTTCCTAAACTTCACTTAGGCGCCGAAAGATTATCGAATATGAGAAAATGATGTCAGTTCATAATGAATACCACCCTGAAATCAATAAATCCACACAAACCTGAAAATTGGATTACTGCCCAACGCTCATTATTGAGTGACTTGCTTTGAGATAAGATTTGCCAATAAGAAATCAGGGAATTAACATTCTGCATGCGACTCAAAATTTATAGGCAGTCATCTATATTAAGTCGCTGAGAAAAATAACTCTGAATTATGAAGTCTCATCTACTTATTTGAATCGTGCATATGTGACTGTCATCTGAGGTCTAGGCGGGAAGGACACTTTCTACCTCGGACCCAATGCTATGCAAAACCATGAGACCTAGCCATCAAATCTCCAGGGACTCGAAGGATAAATTTTGTGGATTTTTCATATTGCCGGGTCAGATCAAGTGAGTAATCCTACTTGGTTCTCATATGTGTATCACAAACAATACACACCCATGGCCCAAGATAACAGTGTTCTGGCTAGTGAAGCTTGTTGGCCGGTCCGACAAAGGGCATGAACATTTAAAGCTTCAGTGAGTAATTTAGTGTGAGGTTTCAGTATATCAGGGTTGCTGTTTGTGGCCTCTAGTCGATATTAATGACTGCAGAGCTATAAGAAGCTAAAGATGAAGTAGGAATATTGTTGGTAAAAAGTGAGGAAAGATCTGAAGGTATAGATTTGGAAGGTTGATAATAATATGAAGAAACCTGAACGCTGATAAAGCTAACGGCCATTGAGATATATCCACTTCCTACACCTTAAGATGTTACTTCAACTTGAGATATTTAAGGAACAGACTGTATTAGTGTTTGTGGTGCATGATGAAGAAATCAAGGGACATCTGCTTGAGACCTGTTACACACGGTCTTTCTGCAAGTCTGATGTTTAACTTTGATTGCATTAGATGCAACTGTGTAATCTATACCTCTGGTATCGGAATACCAAGGGTATGCATAGTATGATATTTTGGGGCCCTACCCTCTCTACTCCTGTTGCTATGGGGACGATAAGGTTATCATGACACTGCTGGTCACCTATAGAGGTAGCAGCTTTTCGGTAACAGAGTCAGTGACTGGCATTGGTCTTAGCTTTGAAGTACACAACAGTCCTCAGTTTATCAGTCACGCTTATCAAGAGACTGACTACAGGGAAGCGAACTTTGACTATGGTTTCTTTCAACTATCAAAAATGAAACATTGTGCCATAAAATATGTAGTACTGTAGCTTATTGATTGAAATTGATACTTGGTTGATCCAGTAAGACTGACTCTTATCTCTGAGAAATGCTGGTTGAAATTGCTTTCGAATGTTACTGGTGAATAAACGTAAAACTGCCATACTATTTCTGAATTTTGGTGTAAGAGAATCCAGTTACGTCTAAGTCAAAAGAAGATAAAACCATTCGTCTACCTCTTCAACCTTTCTTCTGCCAAACTGACTTGTTTCAGTTTTCCCGTGAAAATTCGAAGGACCAAACACGCACAATTTTGTAAGTCCAGCCTGTTACTCTGCTACGAGATTTCAAGTCCTAATCTTCTAAACGATTAGAAAAACTAAGACGTTTCCACTAACTCCGCCTGGTTAACTAGTTCATTGAATACTAGCCGGTCCTAAGCCCGAATAAACAGCAAAGGTTGGGCAAACGCATCACAACCCAACCCCGTAAAGCCAATCTAATCGTTAAAGAAACTTCAAAGCACAAAGAAAATATAAAAAATAGAATTAAACTTATTCCTCACTGTAATTGGAGAGGCGAAATGATGCCAGTAAGGGAAAGCCTTCGCGAAGCCAATTGTCCGATGTGTCTTCTCTCCCTCGAAGAAAGCGAAAGTAATCATAGGGACGTTGAATGTCCACATGATGTCATAACCTAGCACGGCTGCTCAGATTGCCAAATAGATGACAAGGTATGGCATAGATATGCTAAGAATCCGTGAAAGCAGATTGAATGGAAGTGGACTCTCCAAGCTTTCAACTGGAAAGTCAGTAGTTTACTTCGATATTGTCACCCAGACGACAACTACGAGCACACTGAGGTTTGCGGGCGGTTATCATGATGTCTACAAGACCACCGAAGGCTGTCATGCAGTGGAAACCAGTCTACTCCAGGATCATGATAGCCAGATTCAACTCGAAAGGAAGCAAAGACAATCATACAATGCTACTCTACACTACACTATGCACCTACAAATAATGCAGATAAAGAGAAGAAGGAGGAATTCGACAGACAACTACCAGCACTAATCGACAAGATCCCACCCCACTCCACCCCAGTCCAGATAGCAACATCAAAATTCTAATGGGTGGGGTGAAATGAATACCAGCCAAACTGGCAACGGACAACACAACACAAGAAGAGAACTGTGCATGGGTCGAGAAGCACTCAGTGAAGTGATGAGTGAGAATGCAGAACTGGTTGAAGACTCCTGCACATTCAACGATTTGGTGATTACAGTCAGACAGTGTGTACAAACACAAGCATATTCACAAGGCAGTGACACAGATTTGATTTCATCAGATGGTGGATACACTACGCAGTCAACGTCAGATCGACTTCATCTCAATGTGAGGAGAGTGGAGACGCAGCCTACTGGACACAAGATGAGATGAAGAAGGGGAGCAGACTTGGTGGTGGTGGTGGTTCACACCACCCACTATCCAGTGCAAGGAACCCTCCTTCAAAATCAAGTTGGAAGGTGTGGAAGAAGAAGCTGGTGATGGATGATGGACCATAGTTGAGGTTGAACACCCACAACACAAACTCAACTCAACTCAACTGAACTCAGATCAACAGTAGTGAACTGAACTGAAATACGAAACTGCAAAAGACATCTTCACGTCACTCAGTCAGTCAGTCAGTCAGTCGGTCAGTTATCAGGACGAAATGGGAGACATTGAGCAACATATTAGAGGAAAGTTGAGTGGAAAAACACTGGAACTCTGTGAAAGAGACGTCGAAGGAAACCTGCATAACCGTGGTGTTAGGAAGGAAGAAGAAGCGAGACAGGACAGGACAAGGAATGGATCTCAACGGATCTCTACATGGAAGCTGATAGAGAAGGGAGAGGGCGAGTACGATGGTGAGGCAGAAGATGGAAGAGTGAAGTGAAGTGCAGTGCAGTGAAGAGATGAACAATGAAAGACGAAGTGAACACAGCATATAACACACTATACTCCACAAAGAAGTGAAGAGGAGTGTGCACAAAGACAATGGACACTTCCACAATACTCTTGTGGGTGAAGCAGAACAGCCTGTTGGTAGGAGAGATGGAGAGAGATCTGACAACATTTTATCAAATAACCAGGATACCATCTGGAAGGGAAGAGATCAACACAGATGAAAGCAATGAGAGGAAGTGAAGGAAACCTAGTTATCACCAAAGAGGAGAAAGAAATTCAACGATGGGCTGACCACTTCAAAAAACTCTGGAATCGACCACCAACACCATCATCATCATCACCACCATCACCATCACCACATTCAACACATCCACAAATATCACCAGCAACCACAGAGCTACCAGTGAACACAAGCTCTCCGTCAAATGCAGAAGTGAAGTCCTGAACTCCATGAACAGGCTGAAATCAGGGAATGCAATGTGACCAGATGAAATTCCTCAACAAGCACTGAAAACTGACACAGAGACAACAGCAGTGGACATGCCAACACCACACCACTATTGCAGAGGGTTTGCAATGAAGGAAGGTGAGGTACCTGCCGATTGATTCGAAGAATGTCTAACTTGTCAAACTGCCAAACAAGGGAGACCTAGTCTGAGTCTTTGCAAGAATTAGCATGAAATCAATCTGCTGTCTCTGTCCACTCAAAGTAAGCAAACTATTAAGCCTCGTAATCCTGAGGAAAGTGAAGTGATGCACTGGATTCAAAATTACGACCGGAACAAGTTGGTTGGCTGGCTGGTTTCAGGAAGTGCAAATCATGTGCGGATCAGATTGCAACGCAAAGCAACGCAACGCTACACATCATCATAGAACAGAGCGTAGAATGCCAGTCAACTCAACCTCAACTTCATCGGCTTTGAAAAGGCCCTCGACCGAGAAATAATTTGGCGGCTGCTTCAAAGCTACCACAAACCTTTACCAACCTCGTTCAACTGTAGCTGTATGCTGTATGAAGGAAGACAAGACATGCCAAGTGATTCACAATGGACAGCTCAGTGATACATTTGAAGTGAAGACAGGTGACAGGAGTAAGACAAGGTTGCCGCCTACTAACACCGATCATCTTCCTGATTGTTTTCGACTGGATCAAGCAGCAAACCGTGAGAGAGAAGAGGTACATACGCTGGACCTACGTAAAGCCCCTAGAAGTTTTAGATTTCGCCTATGGTTTGTGTCTAATGTCGCACAAACTTGAAGATCTACAGGCAAAATCCAACAAGTTGACAGAAGAAGCAGGGCAGCGAAGACGTGAGTTCAAGTGAATGTAGAGAAGACAGAGGTGATGAAGATAGTCAACCAACAACAAGCATCAATCACCATTAATGGGAGGAATGTAAAGAAAGCTGCCTCTTTCACTTACCCACCTCGGCAGCATCGTTTCAACTACAGACGGCGATGGCACAGATGCGGATGTCAAAACCAGGACAGGCTTCCATTAATCTGAAAGCAGTGTGGAGATCTACTGCACTGCACTGCCTTCAGCATAAAGAACAAGATCTGGATTTTCAACACTAATTCACTCAGTCAAGCAACTCAGTGCTTCTATATGATGGTTCACAGACTTGGCACGTTACGAAAAAGAATTTCCAACAAACTACAGACATTCATCAACAACTGGAACCTACGCTCACTCGATACTAAAGATCAGGTGACCAGAATAGTAAGAATAAGCAACAAGGTACTCTGACTTGATATCGAACCAACCAAGAACTTGTCGCCCAACAAATATGCACAAGGAAGTGGAGATGGGTTGAATTGGACATACACTGAGAAGACTGTTTGTTCAATCACGCACTAATTCGGGCCGTCGAGTGGAATCCAAATAGGAAACGAAGAGTTTGGCGTCCTGGCTGAGTGTGACATGGAGGAGGTCGTGTGAGGAAGAAATGAAAGGTTGTGGGGAGTGGTGGCGTCACGTTGAAAAGACTGGAGAGAAGAGAGTGCAATGGAGACGTGCTACTGAAACCCTATGTTCCACTATGAAGCAAAGGGACAAATAATAATAATTAACTTTTTCCACTGGGTCTATAGGAAAGAAATCTCATACCACGGATATTAATGGTGAATCGTATGGCAAAAATTGACTTACTTTTCATCCAGTGTTTTCAGGAATGAGGTAAATGACCGAACCAGCACATCGGATTTGCACAATTCCAAATTAATTTTTGGATAGTAAAATATATAATTGATACACATTTCATTTCTTATGCCTAGACCACCCAGAGTTACTTGATTCTTGCTGCTTGTGTTGTAAGTGCATGATGTGATCAGTGAATCACCCTTTTAAGAAAATAAATACATAAATAATATTTCTGATATCTTATTTTCAGCATTTACGGGCAAAGATGATTGTTTATGCTAAACGAAAGTAAGAAAGTAACGATGTCACAGGCTACTCTATTGCTGTTCAGTATATCTCTGATATTTTATGTGAGATACGCTATTTCGGATGGTAACTCAGTATCAATGTACAGTTTGAGCTTCTGCCAGAAATTCTTTAACCTAGTTCCGTTTTGTTAACAAATTTCTCTGATCGTTTTATTAGTTTTTCCTGCTTCAGGGTTTCAAGGTTTAAAATTTCCTTATGGATTGGAATATGGAATTCACTGCTATAAAGCATTTAGGATATTTCAACCGTTAAGAAATTAAGGAATTAATATTTTGCATACAGCTCAGAAGCTATAGGCAGTCACTGAGAGAAATAACTTTGAATTATGAAGTCTCATCTACTTATACAAATTGTCTGGACGATAGGCACTTACCCAACCAACCCCAGTTTCGGTTTTAAATATCTTTACACAAAGTAAGTTGACTGGACATGAATGTAGGCGTTTTAAACCTCATGCCTGTGCTTAGAGATAAGTACTGATTGATCTAACATTGCTCTGATATCTAAAATTTCTAGCTGCACTGAATTACCTACGAGTATGTTTTCTTGGCTTTCAAACATATTATGTAATATGTTTTCACTGATTTGCATGCTTCTTTTGAGCAGATACAATAAATGATACCTAATTTATTCACTGTTAATTCTGTATTTAATTTTAGGCTGTTTGTAAGTGCAAGGGATGTGTATGATAAAATGAATTCATTTTTCATCTCAAACATTTCTCATGAATTATACTATTAAAAAGCTTAAGCTGTTAGAAAGTACTCACGTTGATTTCTCTAGTCAAATTAGATACAGAATGGCCGTTTCGCTAGTGTGAAAGTGAGCTAGATAGTCGTGTGCTCAGTAAAATTCAGCTCAGAGAGCCTAATTTTTTCAGATCATATGAATCTGGATAGTTGACTTGGATGGACTGGTGTACCACAAATTGAAAGGTCATTTTGTAAATTACTTACAAATTCCAAACTTTCCCTTGTTTTAATACAAAATTTATCTTATTACTGAATCGAATTTTGTGCCTATCAAACTAGACACAACTTATAGACACTATGAGTTCAAGTAGTCGAATTACTGTTGTTGGCAATACAAATTTAGTTACGAAAATGTTGTTTTCTGTTGATCAGCACATCGATCGACCATTTGAAAATAGCATTTCCTATCACATAACTCTGCTAAAAGATGATGCACAATAGGAGTATATAAAAAGCTTGGTAATGATACATAATAGACATTCTGTGCTGTGCTTCAAGTTGTTAAATTTTACAACCTGTCAGACAAAGTGAATCAAGTGTAAATCCTAAGGAAATAACCACTAGAAGACCAAGATATGCATACTTGCTAAAAAGTAAGATGACAGCGATTTGGAACAGAGTAAAACAAGAACGCATTTACGTCAGTTGTTTGCAATTCAATCCAAGTGACTTGATAACTAATCATTGATTTCTGCATTTTAGGAGACTCACATGATAGCACCCGAAAATCCATGCACAATTTAGTTCTCCAGTACATGAATACTTAGCTCTACTTCATGCCTTTGATTTATTCTCTTCAGAATCCTCCCATTGGGCTTCTACTAAAATTATTCCTGTGAGTTAGTTGACAGTAATGATGAATGCACAACATATGTTGAATTAATCTCAATTTTTACTATTTATTTTTGCTGAAAAATAATAAATTCACGAAAATATTATTCACATTTAGTGTGAGGATTAACAGTGAGAAACAGTGCATTCACGCCTGGCCTGATAAGCTAAGTCGTAAAGTCTTTAACTTCGGCGCTAACTGATATCCTTTTGCATTTTTGGGAAGAACACGAATTTCCTCAAGGCGGTAGATATACCATTTAGCTGAATGCCAACAAACATGAAATTGTAAGTCCTGGATCTAATGAAGACTGGCTGAAAAAAAATCTAACTCCTTATTTAAATCCTGCTGTGATCTAGGTTTTCATTTCAACTTTGATCATCATTCTTTTACATAAATTATAAAATAATTATACTACCCAAATTTGTAGCAGAAAAGTTTTTTAATTATCGTCTTAGCATAGAAGTAAAACCTGAGCTCTACGGTAGATTGTGATTCCATTTTAGTTGGGTTATTAGATGTATCACACAGTGATATGAAAATGGACACTAAATTGTTTCCGAAACTATTTTCAATAAATAATACAGTTTCAATATTTGATATACTTAATATAAAAATTAAAATGGAATTAATTTCTTTGTTTTTAACTAGTTTTGTGCTCTTCCTTACCTAGAGAGGACAATTTTACCTTGACCTCTTGGGGCTGTGGTCCAAATTCCACTTCAGTCAACCTTCTCTTTCAACTTTAATCCCCGTTTTATTATATTAATACTAGTCTGCATTTCTATTCATTCCCATGAAAAACAAGTGTTACACTTATTGCTTGATGAAAATGCTACATTTTGAAGCTCATGCCAACTTTATGATATTCACTACTTTGTCTCAGTAAGCTAAGTTTATGTGTTACCTATCTTCAGATTGAATGGATCAGAAATTTTCTCTTGTAAACTATTCATATCGTACTCATATTTTCCTGGCTAATGAATTGTATTCAGTCACGGTAGAATTCTGGATCACAAAACCTCTGACTATTTACATCACTCAGTCGAAATTGATCTCGAATAACAACTTCGTACGGAAATGTTTTCAATCATTCAACAGACAAACAAACATTTACAGTATCATCAATAATCGTTTGTGTTTTTTGATTTCTATAGTTTTTTCATAAACGTTATATCAGTTCTCATTTCACTAAATAAAGTTTTTAGATTGTGCCGATGTTTAGATTCTGAGTATTTGGTAAAGTACTCGTTAATTTCTACATATTTTTACATGTAAGATATGGAAACTAAGTGAATACTAAACATTTTCATCTCTATTTTGAGTAAATATTTTCTCAATTGAAGTGTAAACTTACCGTTTAATTTGTACTTGTTCATAAAGTTGACGTATTTGTTGAAAATGAGGTGAATAGTAATCATCTCTGTTGAGATCAGATAGCCTTGTTCCGTTGCGTAAATGATGAGTAACAACTTTGATTCCTGTTTTGTGTGTATGTAGTTGTGAAGCAAATACAAATATTCCATTCGGTTTCGGTAAACTCTGTATAAAATTAAAAAGAAGATACGTGGACATATCACTATCATATACACTTTTATGTCACTGCTTAACAGTGATTTTTCGAAACACGTGATTTATCCAATTCACTTCTCACGCTGACCTTGTAGCCGATTTATCTCGCATATACTTGCCCACATAGCGTATGTTCAGTTTATCTGCACAATCGGTCCTTTCGGCGTCGTACAACACAACGCAAAGTGATGGGGAATATTTGTAGCTCATGTGGATGGTCTTGGTTACATTGCGTTCTTTGAACTGGGTTGTTTAATCGTGAAGCTTTCATCGTCATCGACATCACCAGCACTAACTTCAGTATGAAGTGAGCTGTCAATATCTCTCCGTGAGTGATTTAGTAGCTTGCTCTGACAATGTGGTCTGTGACTGGTTGTTCCCTTCGAAGGAGAAATCTACTAAATCACTCACGGAGAGATATTGACAGCTCACTTCATATTGAAGTTAGTGCTGATGATGTCGTCTAGCAAGGCGATGAAAGCTTCACGATTAAACAACCCAGCTGAGAGAACACAATACAACCAAGACAACGCAAAGTCTTGTGCCTTTGGTTCGTATTTCTTGAAAATTTGAATCATCTATGAAATAGTGAAGAATATTTGTAACCGAGGTGGGTGATTTTGTTTGTATTGTGGTCTCTGGGCTAGCCAGAAATGCAATGATACACAACTATTCATGTTACTCAATAGGCAGTTATTTCAAAACTTCAGGCATATACATATGGGTGAATGGTCAGTCAAAGGCTGATGAACCGAGTTTTACAGTAATGTTGCCAAATAAGTCATCAGTAAGTTACCTTTTAAGATAAATAAAATCATACAACTGATAATACTAATCTAAGATTCATGTTTTCAACTTTTCGTTCGATTAAACCTATATATTAATTTGACTTTTTAAATACCTGACGTCAAGTCAGAAGTAGACTGAAACTATAGGTCACGGGTTAATGGTAGCAAGTCCGTTGTGCAGTATGACCGATTAAAGATTTAAATTGTGCCTCAGTTACAACCAAGAAAGAGATAATTTCTCGAGTTTTTTTTATTGTTTCAGAATTACTCTAGTACCTTTTCAGTTAGTTATCTAAACTATCTTAATAGCTAGTTATGAACCTACACTAGTACTGTCAACTAAAAAGAACAAGTCATCTTGCTTTTCACACGATTTGTTATTCGGCTGGATATTACGCTTTATCGATGTAATTCAGTTACTTTATTCTACATTAGGATGGAGTGTACCATTCTTGAATTTCGTCTTCTTCTTCTCTGAATGAGGAGAACTGTATTAAAATATGATGAAGCGCAATTCTTCATGGTATATATTTGTCAGGGAATTGCAAATTCTACCATTTCTCATAGGATATTATTAGAAATAGAGAGGGTATTAAATTAACATAATGTTCTCAGCTTCAATAACACCATTTCTGTCTCACTTTTCACCAGGAAGCAATGTCATTTATACAACTAGTAAAAATGGCTGTTAGATAACATTCTTTAACTTCTTGATTATGTGCCGTTAACGTACTATACTATACATCCAACAGCATATAGTCTCACTGAGAAATATATTAGGTTCTGGATTATTACATCTATTTCAGTAACCAAGGCTTTAAACGTCAAAAACCACTGATAAGATACTATATTTTCCTCTATATGCTAACCAATAGCATCATCACGAGGTGATTAGTCGACTTAAAAAACATATTCTTTCTACCAAACTCATCATCAATGAAATCAGGTTTGAACTTTAGGTTACTCACTTCGAAAACAATGGTAATTAGTGATATCTGTCACTGAAGGTATCACTGCATACAACGATATCAATAGAAAATTAGTTATTACCTTAACTCTAGTTTTCCAATTAATACAAAAGAGGAACAATGACTCCGGAAGTACAGCTTTATTTTTTAAATCGAGTAAAATAATATACAATCACCAAAATATTCTCTATACCGTGGCCAAAATTTGACGAAAGAAAAATTAGATTAAGATAGTTATTGCTGGAAATGTATTTCCAAACACTCAATAGTAATAAAGCGATAAATTTCTGTTACTCTGGAACCTTATAAAAGCTGCTCTGAAACCAATGTTATTTACAACACTGAATAATTAACGACAAGACAATGTTTTTCGATGCATCTATGAACTTAGGACTCCAAGTTTCTGACTAACGATTGCAGTTACCACACCTTACATAGGTGCATTAAGATACAATGCAGTAGGATGAAAACCAAAGAAATTTAGATAAGATTTAAAAATTCGTAAAAAGTCATTCACAAAAGTAGAGATGGTAATGAAAATGACAGAACATGATGAGATGGCTAAGATGAAGGTATAGACGCATTCGCTCCACTAAGATCGATTCTGGGCTTTATCATTCAGTTTCTAAACACTAGTTTTAATTACATCATGAACCCTAAGCGGAAACCTTTCTTGCTCAGACCAACAGTTCAAGACTACACGTACCGGTGGAAAGCAAATTACCCAGTCACATACGTTGATAGGGGTTTACAGTTTTAATGTCTGACTCACGTCTTTTAACAAAGGATGTATCGTTATCCACTATGATCTTTATATATTGACCTCCCAATACAGGGAGTGCGTGCCAGGTGCTTTTCTTCTTTCGGAGGGTGAAAATCTAGTAGATACATCCGTGGCAAGACCTAGAATTTATCTGTTCCCCTTCAGTTTGTTGTTCTCAAACTTCATTTAAGCGTCTAATGATTGTGGAACCTAGAATCTTGAATACAGTTTTTTCAGGCTAATTCCCCTTTGGAATTTAATCTCCCATAAGTTTAACTCAATAGTTCAATTAATTATTTCTCAAACACTCGACTGTAAACGACTGTCCTTAAATACATCTGGTGCAAGCCTATTAGAACCGCCTTTTTCATCTGCTAAGCCTTCACTATCTAACCATTTGGTACTTTAAAATGTAATTATCCTCCTCCTACAAAACCTGTAAAATTCATTAATTTGACTTTCTACTTCATTTCACAACTGTATTTTCACTGTCTAATATCAGTGGTCCTAAGGAACATCAATTTTTGTATCCGAATTTTAAAACTTCATGATTGATCCTGTTTTGCATAAGCAAAATACAAACTATGTAGTTATCTTATTTGACAATCGTCAGGGAGGATTGAACCTAGGTCTCACGCTTCTTGGCACTCGCCAACAAGACGTATCTGCAACTTCTATGGAACTGATGTCCCGCCTGAAACTCAAACCCGCACCAACCAATATCGTAATCAGTGATGTTACCATCGAGTTATCCGGCCGTAACTCACCCCCTTCAGGACTGACCTACATATATTGTCATGTTCAGCACGCCATTCAAAATGGAGTTGTTCCTTTACCAACCACTAAATAGTTGCAACTAACTTGTGCGTAATAAATTTCTTTTTTAGAATGATACAAAGTTCAAAGTTAGTAAATTTATACCTTTAGAAAAAGTCATTAGGATAATGAAACAGGAAACGTACCTTACGAAAACCACAATATTAATATGTCTCAATAGATTGATGAAATATACGAATGACGTATAAACGTAATATCATAGCTTTCATACTCAACTTTTGAGTGCTCTAAAGATCACCCTACCAAAGACTGAAATAACCAATTGGTTTTAAATATTATTTCCTGAAGGCGAATTTTCATAAAATATAAAGGTTCAATTGGCTATTCTAGTCATTGTTAGGATGGCCTTTAGAGTCACTGCATTTTTTTCCCCAAAGATGTCTAGAATGCTCATGATGTCGTTTTCATCTTCGTGACTAGTATTGGAACGCAGATTCGCACGTCTTGTCCTACTTGGAACTCGTCGGTTGGATGTACCTGCACCCCAGTGACTGAAGTTGTTCCCACTAAGACTCGAAGCGAGTACCCATTGCTTCAAACACAAATCCCTACCCACTATGTCACTGGAGCAGTACTGAGTCACCTGCACAGTAGTCTAGAATATCTATCCATTCAACAAACTGATCATAACACTAGTTCGTTAAGATCATCTAATTAGATTCAGATGGCGGAAACAACTGTATTTTACGCGTAGAAAGTTTTCGCTTGAATCTCTCACGAATGTGACTTTAAACAAACATGTCTATCATTTAATGACTCCTGAGTGCTGATAAATGTGTGATGTTCCAGCACACATGTAATTAAAAGGTATATTTCCTTGGCTTCTCTTCAAAAATAAGTTTTCAAAAAATCAAGAGTTATTGGGTCCATCCTAGAGCATTTTCGGTTTAAGATGAAAATATTTCTTGTCTTTGGATGTGATATTTTGTTTTATAGCATCTGTTGCCTTGCAAAATGTAGAATGGCTATTTCTTTTAGCTTATTAAATCACGTTTTTCTAAGATGAAAAGTTGTTACGCACTATCTACTATCACTTCTAAATTCAATGATTTTTCGGTCAAACTAAAAAAGATGAAAACTAATGCGTATGGTAGATGTTTACTATTCATTTTTAATCTCTAAACCATTACTTCTTATTAGACACCAAACTTAGATTAGTAGTTTTTTTGGTTTGACAAAACTCTTCACACAATGGTTTTTTACTACCAGTTTAGTGATGTATTTCAAAGTTATGATATGGTATACACTTCTGTTCGGTCACCATTGAATTTCAACAAATGAGCGTATGACTCCATAGTAACTAGTGCCATCGTATGGTCCCTGTTTCGTATCGAATTGTATCAATAAGAGCTTACGATGCGCTCTCCAAGTCAAGTAAAATAACTTCCAATCTTAAGATTTTCCGACTTTGGATTTCTGGAGTTAACCAGCGGAAAACATCGTGCTTTTCTTAATATTTACTAACCGTCTTATAGGCAATTTTGGAGAAATTTTCCCAGGTTTGAACCTGATTCGTTTAGTGCGTTGTTAACATTAGTTGAGCAGATCGGTTAGTACATTTATTATTGTGATAATCTACAATTCAGGTACGGTTTTCGGCAGAGAAAGAAAGCGGATAAATTTCTAGAAACCTAGGTGTACAGGGGAGTATTTTTCACTAACAAAATATAAGCATATTTACAATACTTTGTTTCGATCAACCTGCCCAACTGAGTTTTGTGTTTCCATCTCGAAGAAAACCATGTAATCCTAATGGTGTGTTGGTATATTTCATCTACAATAATATTAATTTAAGTACTATGCGACTTAAAACTGTCGAAATTTTAATTAAGGACAGTATCTGTGACAATGATATGCTACCAGACTAAATTCATTGAATGTATATATATATATATATATATATATATATATATATATATATATATATATATCACAAACAAAATCCCAAGACTCATAAGTAGAATATTCTAACTAACTATCCATATCTTACCACATCAGTACACTGTGTATCACAATAACCAGTCAGTGTGAACTGTGATTGTCTGGGTGGGATTATATTGTAAGGTGAGTAAACTAGTCCTAGTTCCACTACACCAACATCATATGGCCTCAGTTTACTTGTGATATAGAGGCGAAATCCACTATTGTCTATGATTCCTGTTAGTGAAGAGAGAAAAAAATGGAAGATAATTTGCACAAATGACACTATAGTATGACTATAAATTGATAATATTATCTTTCCTAATCAATCTGTTCGTATTCCACAAAATGCTTAGAGCTTATAATGAATACCGAAATGGCTTTACTACGAGCCAATGATAATATAACCAATCTGAAATCGAACATAGTCTTTCTACAAACTTCAGTGATGATCAATCTCAAGAAAAATTGGCATGATGGAGAACAATTGTAGCTCAGGATGATTAAATCATCCAGCTTGGAGAACACAAGACCATCAAAACTGGCATACATTTCGCTACAAAATATTTTATTCTGCCAGCAACTTAACTTCTTATCATAACGATACAAAGCAAAAGGAATGTTTCACACTATCGTAATTTAATAATTCTGAAATTAACCTTTACCGCTAGCGACATTATCAATTCAGGCCAAGATACCTAATACTACTGGTTGCATAATAGGAAACTATGGGATTGGGTCTCGATCAGAACGACTATAACAGATAAGATGAAGCAGTAGTGAACTAGTTTATGATTACCACAGGATTTTTTATTGGGTTCACCTTACGTTTAAAAGAAACGCAAGTACTTAGGCCGCTCAGTGGTCCGTTCTAAGAACTAAAAATGAGTAGTAAGAGTTTTTGAGTTTATGAATTATTGAAACCTGTAAATTCCTGTTGCTTTGCTGGATCGAATCGCCCAACTTTGTTGTAATTTGCTTAGTCGATATCAGTAGAATCCAGAATGTATTATTGTCCCTTTTGTAACTCGTCAGATGTATGTACTTTGACTCCAGGGACTCGAAATTAGTACCCGTCGGTTCCGACGCCAAAATGTTATACTTTAGGTCACTAAGTTACGATAGCCGTCTTTTATGCCACGAGTATCAGCTGGTATTTAGTGATACTTGTAAATTTATATTTGCATCTGGATTGAATGTGTGAGTGTATATCATTAATTCGAAACATCAAATAATGATCATATACAAGGAAAGAGATCATTCAGAATGCCTAATTACGTAATATGGAAACATGTAAATTATGCCTAGGTATAGTGACGTTGAAGTCCAATTTACCATGCAAAGTAACAGCGTTTTAACTAGGTAGTTCCAACACTGAAGCGTCATAGAAACCACTCCATTTAAATATTTAGGAAATCCATTCTTAAATTTCTAAATACCCAATTAATGGCTTCACTGTAGAAAATAACTCAATATCAAGAGTTTAGCTTATCGTAGTAAGATATGCTAAGTGCCTTTACACATTGAATAGACTTAATTGTTTAAAAAAAATAGCTTCCATCAACATTCAAATCATTTCCATGTAACAACTATATGCAACACAAGACTGTTCAACTTTGAAGCTAATACAGTGTTCATACAAAGTCGGTACTAATGGGTCAGTTTTGGCATTAGGTATGCCTCATTTATTCCAAAACAACTACTGATGTTCACCTTAAAAGTAGTAACTGGTATACATCTAGCCATATTCCATTCATCAGACTGTCTTAGCGAAAATATCACAAAGCATGTGATAATATTCTGTAAGCAGATTAAATGTTAAGATGAAAATAAGAATAAACACCATTGTACCACCCCAAGATGTTTCTAAAATTTTTTGAATTTCTATTTATCCTGGAAGAATATAATACTTCGAACAATTAGACAAAAAGATCAACTGAGATTTCCCGCTGTATTTATACACAGGGAAGTTGTAGGCTGGCATCCCAAAACAAGAACTCTTTAACTAGCCAATAAAAATACTAATGAGCTAAGGTCTCACATCACTGTCAGCTGATTATGAAGACTAACTGCATGGTCAAGTTTTTAACATTTCTCCTTTATTCGCTTAGCCTGTTATTTGTGCATTGTGAGTGAGTATGTAGATGTGCGTAATGAATGTGTAGCGTGTTGGCTTAGATGTTGAACTTTCAATCATTAAGTTATGATTTGAAGTTCAGTTCATGTTTAAAGGCCAAACAGGAAAGTGGAATCAAATTTCATAAACTAAGTGTAGCGTGAATATCTGAAATGTTGGTCGATGACTCCTTTACTTAGCGATCAAATATAGTGGTATCATTATTTAAATATATCCATCTATCACAGAATAAAATTACACTTTTTTAAGCTCCATTAAGCAATCGATGTTACAGCTTTAATAAGTGATGGTTGTTCTTCTTTTGTTTAATCGTTCTTATTTATTTAAAACATTGTTACCGATAGAAATGATCTTTCTCATCTTTCTCACGCAAATAATCCTAATAATACAGCTGTTTGATGATATTAGTATTATAAGATCTGAGGGTGTTGAAGAAATAAATTCATTATCTGAAGTACTCACCTGATATATTTTTAGGATTATTGTAATGCATTTCAATGACAGCGTACTCTCTTCCTCGAGCCCCACCAACACGAATTCCGGCTTGTTCAGGAAACGTTAATCCCTAATAAAATGTAAATTGCACCAATTAATATTTTATTGCCTTTAAGGGTGAAAATGAAGATAACTGTAGTTTAATGTTCTTTTAGCTTTGGTATTCTAAATTTTAATGTCTTCTTATAAACCAGTTAAATAAAATTATCAGTATTGAGTCGATAAAAAACACGTGGTTTCAGAGACCAACAAGCAATAAACAGATGATAATTTCCACACATTTGGTTATTCTGGTAGATTTTAACACAATAAGAAAAACTAGGTTTGAATCATCAAACAAATTGGCCTTACTCTATATGAATCCTGGTCAAAATTTGACCGGATAGTTTCACTTATGTTGTGTGCTGAATGAAAGTTTGACATGAGATATGTTGTATTTGTATAAATCTCAGTTTGTCGGAAAAAACGAATAAATAATGGCAATGTTTCGCTTAGAAGTCTGGTTTCAGCTTCTTCAGGGAAATAATCAAGAACTACCTTATCACAGAAAGGTTGAAATTATCTATTTATTTCAGACACGCTGAAATTTATACAAATGTAACTTACACCATTGCTTATTTATTTCGAAAAATTGAAATTGACGAGTTCCAGAGCGATCAGATAAAAGAAAGATTAAAAACTCAGCTGGCACTGGTCAGAAGTTTACGTAATACATAGGAAAGTTAAAATTCAAAAGACTGAAATTAACACTGCCAGCTCAAACCACCTATCTGGTAAAATAAAAATTCAAGTCAGCGAAGCAAGATAAGATAAAAATACCTGTCCAATAGGAGTAAGAGGCTGACCATAACTTCTTTCTGATGGCATATGTCTGCCTGAAAACGTGTTGTGGTATTTCATTCAGCGATGTGGAATAGCTTTGGCATTATCTACCCCTCATTACTTTAATGGCTTCAGAAGTGTTAGATTTCTCCCCTTGAAATAAAAACTTAGTAATGACGAATATTTGTAGCTCAGGTGGATGGTCTTGGTTGTATTGTGTTCTCTGAGCTGCTTTGTTTAATCATGAAGCTTTTATCGTCTTTCTAGACGACATCTTCAGCACTAAGGTCAGTAGGAAGTAAGCTTTTAGTATCTCTCCGTTGATGATGTCGTCCAGAAAGACGATGAAAGCTTCACGATTAAACAACCCAGCTCAGAGAACACAGTACAACCAAGACCATCCACCTGAGCTAAAAATATTCTCCATTATCTCAAAATCACACGAACGTGACACGCTTTACGTTGTTCAAAGATGGGAAGACTTCTCCAAAAGGCAAGCTTCCACAAAAGAACAACCATTCTTTCTCCATGAGTGCCTACGTCAGCATGTTCTGCAGAAGAGTGTCAGATATAGACCACAGATTAACTGTCCAATGGGATGGGAAATAGTTGAACAAAGTGGAAGAAAAATGGTGCAATTGATGATCACAGATGCACACCATCGGATCCGAAAATACCAATCAGTGATTAATAATCAAAAGACAAAACTAGAAAGCATACTCACGACGCAACACATGACAACACTGACAACTGCAATTGAAAAATCAAGCAGACGACACAAAGAACAACGAAGAAAAGTTCTCAGAAAAAACTACACAAAATCTCAGAAGCACCTACAACCGAAGAAACAAACGACTGCGTTACTAACTTATCAAAACAACCACTAACGAAAATGGAAAAACTTCTCCTTCAGAAAGGATTGAATTACAACACAAGAGATGCCTCGAAACCAGAATTCTTTGCGGCATTAGAATCGTCCCTTAAAACATCAGGATTAAATGAGGTCACTCAACAAGAAATACGGCGAACAATCGTACCACTAACCAGGCAGAGGAGACATCATGCTCAAATGAACACTCAAGAACAGAAAACATGAAAAAGACTGAGAAATAGGAAAGACGTCGTTATACTTCCAGCAGACAAAGGACGCACTACAGTAGTCATGGACAAAGAAGAGGAATTGCTCAAAGACGAAAGTGTATATCAACCACTTGAAACCAACCCTATCCATAAGTTTGACAACCAGATCAATAAAACCTTGAACAAACTCTTCAAAGCAGAAGGAATAACAAAGCAAGACAAATGGCATATGAAACTGAATGAACCTGTCCTTCCTCCATTCTACGGCAGACCAAAACTAAACAAACTCGATATCCCTCTGCGACCAATAGTCTCACTTCTGGGAACTCCAACATATAACACATCAAGAGAACCTTCGAGAAAACTGAAACACTTCGTTCAATCATGCGGACATTCCATCAAGTCATCAACAGAATTCTTAGAAAAGATCAAAAGCATTAACATAGAAAACGGCGAGTTAGTGATATCCTTCGATGTCACAGCACTATACACATCCATCGAACCTCAGTTGGCCAAGGAAACGATATCCCTCCTACTCGATGAAGACAAAAACCTTTCAGAACGCACAAAACTCAAATGTTCAAGTCTGATGGAACTCATAGACTTTCGTATGACGTCATACTTTCAATTCAACGGTAAGATATACAAACAGATGAAAGGAACTCCAACGGAATCACCAATATCCTGATTAATTGCGGAAGCAGTGATGCAGAGACTGGAAGCCATCAGTAGGACAAATGCCGGAAAGCTGGAAACCCAAGTGTACAGGAAGCCAGTACATATTGACCAATTCCTCAACTACAATGACACACAAAATCAGTTGAGTGCAGACTCGATTTTAAAACAGCGAGAACATACTGCGGCACAACAACTTCACGGAGAAACGAAGAAAATTACTTGATGTTCACCCTAAAGAAGAACGGCTACCACGTAACTTATCAGAAGATGCCTATCCCGTACATCATCAACTACAAAGTCATCGACAGAAATCAATAAACGCATCATCCTACCATACATGAAGAATATATCAGAAATCACAACAAGATTACTGAAACCACTTGGAATTGGTGTGGCTAATAAACCAACAAATTCCCTCCAAACACTATTATGCAGACCAAAGGATGCAACAATCAAAGAAGACAAACCGAATATCATTTACAAAATCAACTGCAATAACTGTAGTCAACACTACATTGGACAAGTGGCCACCCTCTTCGCCTTTGTCCTAATGAGCACCAATTGGCTACTAAACGCCACGACATTTCGTCACTCATTTCAATGCATGTGGATAATTATTGACATGAATTCAATTTTGACAATGTAGACATTCTGGATAGAGCGAACTCAAAAAATATCAGAGAATTCCTAGAAGCTTGGCATTCAGATCAGTCAGTCAGCAATCAACAGATGTATAGACATAGACCCGATCTATCAGCCAATAAGAAAAATGATAAATGACAGAAAGGTCAGAGATGAAGCAGAGGAACAGCCAACAGGAAAGTGTATACAATCAATGACACAACAATCGAAGGAAACAACCAATCACAGACCACATTGTCAGAGCAAGCTACTAAATCACTCACAGAGAGGTATTGACAGCTCACTTCATACTGAAGTTAGTGCTGGTGATGTCGATGACGATGAAAGCTTCACGATTAAACAACTCAGCTCAGAGAACACAATACAACCAAGGCCAAATAGAAGTTTTATTCCCGTCCTTCTCATCTATTAGCTTCCTCAAGTGCCAGTAAAAAGGATCAACGCAGTGTGAATAGAATTTTTATCTGCATTGAACTATTTTATTAAGTTTGCAGTTTCATGCAGTGAAATAAGTTTGGTCTTTGGCAAATATATCTTATTCCTCCATTGATATACATACTTTATGACCAGGCAAATCGACAACTGACAACCTTTATCTCAGAGACCTAATCAACCTACGAATTTTACGTAAACCAAGGGTAAATGTGGTGTTTTGGTTTGAGTCTCTACTGGACTGACTTATCAGTCAGTTTTTCCGTCATCATAATCGTTTGGTCACTGAATAAGGTACTAGGCTTGTTGGATAGAATTGATGCTGGTTGTTAGGTTAATTGTCGTGATCCTTTTTCTTGTTGGTTCATAAAATGGTACTATATCAACACTTCTGATAATCAACTTTCAGTGTGATGCTTATATTCTAAATATTTTATGGCAAGCTAATATTTTGCTGTCTTTCACTCAAGAGGTCCTCCATAATTATCCACATAACTCGACGTAAGTGGAAATTGATAGTGATGTTTCTATGTAAAATGACGTTCCCACAGGCGTTGCTGAAGAAGATAACTATTCCGTATTCCTCCATTATTTATTTCGAGCAATTGAACATGTATGAATTTATACAGATCCTTCGGTTTCCATGCTATCTGCCATTTCTATACTTTTATGAATTTCCACCTGTGAAGACTACTGAAGTCATTTAATCTATCCTTACATAACCTTTCTTTGTAAGATCTTATTCACATTGTACACTTTTGTGAATAGCTGTAAAACCACTTTGTGTAGGCATACTTCTGTGTAATCTGACGAATGTCTATCCAATTAATGTTTGTTTGGAAATATATTATGCCTCAGTCCGCTTATATGTCATTTTTCTCCAAATTTCTTGTACCAATTACCCATAGGTTTTATCATAAACTCTACAATATAGCCTATTTTAGGACTATTCACTCAATAATTAACACAGTCTGACTGTTATTCAACCCACAATCAACAGTTTGTATCCTACCGTAAAACTTGTAATTCATACGATGTTTGGTTATCTCAACTTAAACCTCTTGAAGTAACTTATTCTATTGGCGTTAATTATTTCATTATATTGTGAAATTTTGTCTTGTTAACCTTTCGTAGCTCATTCTAATTAAAATTACTACAAGCTTTCGTTTCATTTTTGTTGGATCTACTACGCATTTAACTGATTTTAGTTCGCTATCATTGTCACATTTTTCAATCTTACTAAACTTCTTTCTGTTTTAGTTGTAAATGCCGACTTTCTGCAAATCTTAAGTCCTAAGTTTCTTCTAGACGTATTATTGCACAACTTTAAGTTTCATAGTAGTCAGTTGTGCACAGTGTAGCTACCATGCTTCGAATTCAGGTAACCATTCGACTTAAGCGTTATCGTCTAAAAAATATTGCATATAAAGAGGAAGGCTGATAAGATTTTAGCCAAGACCTCAGAATATTTATTCCCCTGCAGTATTACTGAAGAATTGTCTATATATTTAATGGAAGTGTTTATCTTGCGGAGTCAGCCAAGTAAGGAGTAAAAATGGATGCTTTCTGGTAGTATTAGATGATAATAACGCTTTGGTGCGAATCTAAATCAATAAAAGATGCGAAGTGTCAAATTCCAACCAAGTGGTTGAATAGGAACATACTCACTGCAGGGTCTGACTTCTTGAGTCAAGTTTAATATAGATTCATGGTATACTTTGATAAGAATCTCAAGAGAAGAATGAAATAGCGATCACAACTGACTTTTTAAGCAGTTGTCTATCTGATATAAATCCATGAAGAAATCATCTTGTATTCAGTTATTTCTTCACAGGACATCTAAGTGAATAAATTGTTTATGTATCAGAATGTATCCAAATAAGCTAAATTCGGAATACTTGTGAACTACATCTATAACCAACTGAGTATAACTTACTGTTGTTCCCATAGCCCATGCTGCAATAACCTCTCTGCAATGAGACAAGCCAGGTGGTTTCATTTCCGAATTACATGCAGCGTTATAATGTGGTACGTTTTCATTTCTAGGACAACGAAAGATTTCCATATGATGAATTAGTCCTTGACTTGTTGGCATGATGTCACTTTCATACTAAGTTTGGAAAAGTAAGGGTAAAGGAAACAAAGAAATCAAAATAATAAATCAGGTGCAGTAAATATTACTCATAATTTCAAAGGAGCCGCTAATTAATTCATAAACAAGTGTACACTAATGTTGTGCGTTTCACCAGAGCGGTCATTATTAAGCAATTAGAGAGGAACTTATGCATTCAGAAAGAAACAGTTTTTCGTTGTTATTGTTGTTGTTGTCGCCGACAATCATAACGTTGTTTACGTCATATAATCATTTCATATCAATTTACTATTTTGTTTTGTTGCTTGTATTCTCCTACCGTTGACTGTACCCAAATGATCGGTCTCCACTGGCAAATGGGCTCCTGCGCGAAGGCCTCAATACTGCCCTTTGTATTAATGATGACTACCGGCTAGCAGTGGAATCCACGACTCGCGTTTCGTCTCGTCTGGGACTTTCCATCTGGATGTGACGATAAACACTTCGTTTGCAGCGAGTTTGGTTTTTATATCGTCACTTGCAAAACTCGGTGACCTAGTGGATAACCCACTGGCCCTCGAAGTGATAGATCCTGGGATCGAGTCTTCGTAAAAACAACATCGCCCACTGGGAGGCAGGCACATCCAGCTAAAAAATTTTGAATGAGACAAAACGTGAGTACCTGACTTTACTGCTAAACACCATCCATCATTAATACATGAATTATTTGTTCCATTATGTACTCTCAACTGTATGAATTCTACTGAACTTTGTTTTCTTATCCTTCTGAAGTCTTTTCACCACATTTTTATGCTTTAACGTAACACAGTGTTGTTAGTTTTCAGTAGCCAGAATATATCTGTCTTCTTTTGTTTTTCAAACTACACTTTTGCCTCTAAAATACTTATTGAATTTCTTTATATAAAAGCAACTTTATTTATACTCTTTGTAGTTCTAACCACTCAATAACAGTGACTTGAATCAAATGACAACCTTATTATCTCATCTTGAAGTTGACAATTTTCTATAAAATTCATTCAGGTATATAAGTATTTTTTTGTCTACTTCGATAACAATTTCGTTGTATGTTGTAAGCAGTTGATAAGAAACCTCGAAATATAATAGACTTATGCTATTCTGTTAAGGCTGATGTTAGTGTCATACTTAAGTATACCAAGTAGAGGAAGTGTATATCTTCTTTTGATTAATTCTAATTCGTAGAATCAATTTCATTTTAGCCTGAGAATTAGCTTTAATAAATATTCAACCAATTCGAAAAGAGATAAATGAAGTTTTCCCTATTTCTCATTCACAAGTTTTTATCTATAGATCAGCCAAAGATAAACTCAGAAACCTAGATGTCGCATTTCGTTTACCGATCAACAAAAGCGTCCAGCATACAACGGATTCATTTAAGAAATTAGTAGGCCCGTCTATGACCAAGTATAAAAACAACACGAACAGGAATAATAAATTAACCGTAAATGCTTTCAATAATTGGCCTAAAGCATATAAAAGGAATAGCTACAAAATAGCATAATGTAATTACTAGTGTAGCTACACAACCATTTCTAGGCGCTTTAGTTGACCGGTAAGTGAAATGGGTCATATAGATATCAGAGTTTACCTTCAGCTGATTTATAGGCGAAAACTTATTGATGAGAAACATAGAAAACTTCAGTTACCTTTTAAAATTATAATTACTTTATTCCAAACAACATGTCTGATACAGTATGGAATTCTCAGTAGTAATATTTCAATAATGAATTTACTCCATGTACAATATTTTTAACGAAATAATTATTTTATCTAAGTAGTGTTAACAATAATAGTATTAAAGCCAATAATGTGAAACAGGCAGCCGGTGTAACATTAGCGCCTGGTCCGAACTGGTGCAAGAATGGAAAATCAAGCTTAATGTTTGTGGCGATGGTTCATTTAGCACGTACAAAAATCTGCGATTCGATATAGGTATCCAAGGTATAGTAACCTGCTGTATTCCTGTGCATTTATTGAACCATTTCTTACCTGTGTAACGTTTTTTTGTTTTGTTCTTGCAGTTTGAAAACATCTGAAGAGTGTATAGAAAGTGCAGGATACACAGGATACACAAGAGGTGAAGAAAGCTTCCATGATCAACCGAAACACCACTTCTCATATTCGCCATCCTATATGGCGAACCGCAACTATGCATATACAATTATTAGTTGGGAAATGCAATACAAGAAGCTGAAGTTAACTTTGAAAACTATTCAAAGGAAATTATTTACCCTGATTATATGATGTTCCTTCGAGAAATAGGGGAGTTCGATAGTTTTACACCAATATGTTGTTTCCACAGCAGGTACTTCAACCTGTAATAAAAATTACACTTGGTTACATATAAAATGAAAGAGATAAGTAACGATAAAGTAAACATGAAGATTTGGACGAGATAAGGTTGTCATGAATTTTACCATTCTCAAGTACACGCAAAAATTACCCAAACGGACAAACAATTTGTTCGATCTCATTTTCCTTACTTACGCTAAGCGTGGACCCAAAGGAAACAGATATGACAGCACTAATAATAACCCATTATACTGAACTAACTGAAATTTCCCAACCGAAGAAAGATAAACAAACTGACAGAGAGAGTGACATGTTGCATGATCTTCAGTCTTCACTAAGTTCCGTCGATAAATGAAGTAACATGAAAATGCAGTACATTTCGTTTTACACTAGGTTCTGCAAGCCAGTTAATAAGATGCCATCAGTCGAGGTTTCACTCTAAAAAAGCGAATTCATTCAAAAGAAGTATCCACGACCATCCTGTTCACCTGGCCCACCATAATGTTTAATACAACCTTAATAACGCAGTAGAATAAATAGGCACATTCCTGACCTTTTTCCCTTCTTTCTGTTTCTCTTTGAGTAACATTTAATCACAAGATGTAACTTATTCCCTTTGTTTACTAGTTTGGACAGAGACGGTGGGTCACTGTTAAACTATAGGCTCATGCTGGATGCCTGGGGATAGTTTGTAGCTTCATTTTGATAACAAGGATGATCATTTCGACCCAAACAATAAACAGAGGGAAATGAAAACTAATGGTATCAGTCTATACTTATTAAACAAACAGTGAATCTAGTAAGTCAGTTCTTGGTCGATAATGTCATGGCGACTAAACTGATAGGTAGGTGTTTCAGTTGTGATGCGGAAATCAGCGCAGGAAGACAGATACATTCAGCTAATATATTTCAAATACAACAAAGTATGCATCTCTGATCCCACAGAAACCATAACTCATCTTTATATTTATCTCAGTCATTGTCAAATTACAAAACACAAAACTGATGCTTTTACGGATATTAGTGCAGTAGCCGCACAGGTAAATAGTTCACTAGTTACTAGCCGGTCCTAAGACGGAACAAACAACAAAGGTTGGGCATTGAGATATCAACTCTACCCTCAAAAAACCAATTCAGTCACTGAAGAAACCTCAAACACAAATTAAGAATAAAAAATAAAAACAAACTTATTCCTCGCTGGAACTGGAGAGACGAATTGATGCCAGTTAGGGAAAAACTTCGAGAAGCGAATTCGCTGATTTGTTTTCACTCCCTTGATGAAAGCGAAAGTAAGAATGGGGACATAAAATGTCCACACGAAGTCTGAACCTAGCAAGTCTGCCCAGATTGACAAAGAGATGAGAAAGTATGGCACAGGTGTGGTAGGAATCGGTAAAAGCAGATGGAATGGAAGTGGACTCTCCAAACCATCAACTGTAAAGTCAATAGTCTACTCCAGCATCGTCACCCAGATGACAACCACGAGCATACTGAGTTTTGGAGTGGCTATCACTGTGTCCACAACACCATCGAAGGCGCTCTCTCACAAAATGGGAACCGATCTCCTCCTCCACCATCACGATCATCACAGCAAGATGGATTCAAATCAAAAGGAAGCAAACTCACAATCATACAATGAATGCTACGCTACACTACGCTTTGCACCTACAAATAATGCAGATGAAGAGAAGAAGGAGGAATTCGACAGACAACTACCAGCACTAATCGACAAGATCCCACCCCACCCCATCCCAGTCCAGTCCAGTTAGCAACATCAAAATTCTAATGAGTGGGGTGAAATGAATACCAGCCAAACTGGCAACGGACAACACAACACAAGAAGAGAACTGTGCATGGGTCGAGAAGCACTCAGTGAAGTGATGAGTGAGAATGCAGAACTGGTTGAAGACTCCTGCACATTCAACGATTTGGTGATTACAGTCAGACAGTGTGTACAAACACAAGCATATTCACAAGGCAGTGACACAGATTTGATTTCATCAGATGGTGGATACACTACGCAGTCAACGTCAGATCGACTTCATCTCAATGTGAGGAGAGTGGAGACGCAGCCTACTGGACACAAGATGAGATGAAGAAGGGGAGCAGACTTGGTGGTGGTGGTGGTTCACACCACCCACTATCCAGTGCAAGGAACCCTCCTTCAAAATCAAGTTGGAAGGTGTGGAAGAAGAAGCTGTGATGGATGATGGACCATAGTTGAGGTTGAACACCCACAACACAAACTCAACTCAACTCAACTGAACTCAGATCAACAGTAGTGAACTGAACTGAAATACGAAACTGCAAAAGACATCTTCACGTCACTCAGTCAGTCAGTCAGTCAGTCGGTCAGTTATCAGGACGAAATGGGAGACATTGAGCAACATATTAGAGGAAAGTTGAGTGGAAAAACACTGGAACTCTGTGAAAGAGACGTCGAAGGAAACCTGCATAACCGTGGTGTTAGGAAGGAAGAAGAAGCGAGACAGGACAGGACAGGAATGGATCTCAACGGATCTCTACATGGAAGCTGATAGAGAAGGGAGAGGGCGAGTACGATGGTGAGGCAGAAGATGGAAGAGTGAAGTGAAGTGCAGTGCAGTGAAGAGATGAACAATGAAAGACGAAGTGAACACAGCATATAACACACTATACTCCACAAAGAAGTGAAGAGGAGTGTGCACAAAGACAATGGACACTTCCACAATACACTTGTGGGTGAAGCAGAACAGCCTGCTGGTAGGAGAGATAGAGAGAGATCTGACAACATCTTATCAAATAACCAGGATACCATCTGGAAGGGAAGAGATCAACACAGATGAAAGCAATGAGAGGAAGTGAAGGAAACCTAGTTATCACCAAAGAGGAGAAAGAAATTCAACGATGGGCTGACCACTTCAAAAAACTCTGGAATCGACCACCAACACAATCATCATCATCACCACCATCACCATCACCACATTCAACACATCCACAAATATCACCAGCAACCACAGAGCTAACAGTGAACACAAGCTCTCCGTCAAATGCAGAAGTGAAGTCCTGAACTCCATGAACAGGCTGAAATCAGGGAATGCAATGTGACCAGATGAAATTCCTCAACAAGCACTGAAAACTGACACAGAGACAACAGCAGTGGACATGCCAACACCACACCACTATTGCAGAGGGTTTGCAATGAAGGAAGGTGAGGTACCTGCCGATTGATTCGAAGAATGTCTAACTTGTCAAACTGCCAAACAAGGGAGACCTAGTCTGAGTCTTTGCAAGAATTAGCATGAAATCAATCTGCTGTCTCTGTCCACTCAAAGTAAGCAAACTATTAAGCCTCGTCATATTGGAGAAAGTGAAGTGATGCACTGGATTCAAAACTACGACCGGAACAGGTTGGCTTGCTGGCTAGCTGGCTGGATTCACGAAGAACAAATCGTCCGCAGACCAAATTGCAAAGCTACGCCACGCATCATCACAGAACACAGCATAGAATGGCACTCGACTCAACTCAACTCAACCTCAATCTCAATCTCAATTTCATCGACTTCGAAAAGGCCTTCGACTGAGGCGTCAACGAGAACTAGTTTCACAGGCAGCTGATTCAACACTACGCTTTTAGGTAGTGCCACAAACCTTTACCAACCTCATTCAACAACAGCTGTATTCTATATGAAGACACAACATGCCAAGTGATTCACAATGCAAAGCTTAGTGATACACTTGAAGTGAAGACAGGGGATAGGAGTAAGACAAAGTGGCCCCCACCCACTATCACCGATCATCTTCCTGATTGTGGTCGACTCCACTTTACTCTGCTCCACTCCACTCCACTCCACTTGATGCGACGCGACGCAACGCGACTGGACTGGATTGGACTGGATGATGCAAGATACAAGTGTGAGGAGCTGTGAGGAGATGGGCATACGCTGACTGGACCGCCGAAAAGACCCAAGAACAAGATTTGGATTTCGCCGATGATCATGATGATGATGATGATGACTTATGTCCAATGTCTCATCGCACATAATCGAAGATCTACACACGAGAACCAACAAGTTGACAGAAAGGGCAGGCCAATGAAGATTCGACTGACTGCAGGTGAACGTGTAGAACGTAGAGGTGATGAAGATACTTAACAACAACAACACAAAAACAACACAACAACACAACAAGAACAACATGAACGAGCACGATGAATGAGAGAAATCTGAAGGAAGTTGTCGCTCCCACCTACCTAGGCGAGGCAGCATCGTTCAACTACAGCCGGTGGTGCCGGTGGCGGTGACGGTGACAGTGGCAGTGGCAATGGTACAGATGAGGACATCAAGACAGGATCGGAAAGACAGCAAAACAGGTATTCACTTATCTGAAATTATCAGTGTGGAGATCTACTGCACTCCACTGCACTCCACCCACTCAGCAAAACACGTGCACAAGATCCAGATTTTCAACACTAATTCACTCAGTCAAGCACTTCAGTGCTTCCATGTGATGGTTCAGAAACTTGGCGATTATGAAAAGCATTCCCAACAAACTACAAACATTCATCATCATCAACAACAACAACAGCTGCCGCCTACGCTCTGCTCACTCGATACTGACACTGAAGATGGAGATGAGATGGATAGCCAGAATAATGAGAATGAAGAACAAGCAACTCACTCTGGCTGGTTGGCTGGCTGGCTGACTGGTTGGCTGGCTGCCTTGCAAGCTGGCAACGAAGCAACCAGCCAACCAAGAACCTATCGCCCAACAAATATGCGGAAGTAAGTGGAGATGGATTGAATTGGACATACACTGAGAAGACAGATAGAGGATATCATGTGCCAGGCTAGGCTTGGCTAGGCTAGGCCAGGCCAGACCAGTCCGTCGAGTGGAATGCGAATGGGAAAGGATGAGCTTGGCGTGTGAGTTGAGTGTGTAATTGAGAAGGTGGTGTGAGGAAGAAATGAGAGGTTGTTGGTTAGTGTTGGAGCCAGGTTGAGTATACTGGAGAGAAGAGAGTGGAATAGAGACGTGCTTGTGAAGCTTTATGTTTCACGAGGAACCCAAGGGACAAATAATATTAATATTAGTGCCGTAGTCCTAGGCAACACTTCTAACATCGTGTAACTTACTTATAATTTACAATGCAACTTTTCTGGAATTAAAGTATATATATATGCACTATGCAAAACTTTTACCTTCCAGAATCTTCATTTGACTTAGATCCTCACTCTTAATCCTGTTCACCGAAACATGCATGATTTCCTACTGCAACCAACAAAAGAATACTTGTATTGGTATTCATCACAGATATTTAGATCATCAGTTACAAGAATGGATTCGATAGCCATATAAAACTAATCATATTTAATTACTGATAATAAATAAATTATCATTTTGACCATCTGAGATAACCATGGTTTGACAGACTAGTATTGATACTTGGCGGTGATTTAAGGTGAAATGATAACTTGCACCGTGACGGGATTCGAACAAGCGACCATTGGGTTTTTGGTCCAGTGATCTTCCAACCTAGCTTTGAGACCCTACTGCTGACCAGATTTTTATTTCACTTCAAACACAAAGGGTTTTGCCCGACTACCAAGTGAATTCGTGACGCGCTACTATCGCTTAATGTACTCACATCTCTCTCAGTCAAAATGATAATCAATATGATACCCTCTCTAATTCAAAGAGATTTGAATTGGGATGAGAAGTCCTGACAGGGCGACCAGTGTGAGTACAATCAAACGGTAGCAACGCGTCACGAATTCACTTGGTAGTCGGGCAAAACCCTTGATGTTTGAAGTGAAATAAAAATCTGGCCAGCCGTCAGGGCTCGTATCTCAGTTGGTTAAGCACTGGGCCGGAAACTTGGTGGTTGCTTGTTCGAACCCCACCGTGATTCAAATCTTCATTTCATCTCCAATCATCACCCAGTATAAATAAATAAATAAATGAGATTTACCTGTTGAACGTGCACTAAATGTATCTGAACATCTGTATTCATCTTTAAACCGGTGTATACTCGGCTTTTCAGTAGCTGAAGGTATACTTTTTTATATTGGATCGACTGCATTTTTATACCATCTAACAAAAATAGATGGACTGGTTGTCAACTGATATAACCAATAACTTTTAATCTCATCAGCAGGATTTAGTTGTTCATATAGACTATGGAATAAGAAGACACGAGTCGTTTGATTCTATCGAATGAGAACAAAATAATTGCAATCATAAAAATATTTGTGAAATGAATATTAAATGGAGATAAATCATTTCTAAAATCATAGCCTAATCAACACTTTTCCAAACAGTACAAATGTGATAAATACAGTTGAAAAGAACCCAGGTGACGGTCTCTCTTCAAACTTTCTCAAAGATCATTCAGCATTTGTTTGCCAGTTGCGGCTGATTCAACTAAAAGATCCTGTGATCTTTATTCCATATTTGATGATGCTTGATGTATCTGCTGCGTTAGAAAAACTTCCTGTCTTCTTGGATAGAATTGCAGTTTCTGGATCCTGAGCATTTCAGCTTTAAATCTTTAAGAAAGACGAATTTTGTATCTCAACGGATAAACTCGGTCGTTGTCGATGAAAGTAGTTTGTAGGTCAGGAGCCATTCAGTAATTTATCAATGTAATCCAGAATCCAAAAATGATGGAATTGGTACTGTTTCTTGGTTACAATATGTCTGAGCACACAATGGTAGACGGTTTATGTTGATTGATGGCAGTGAAGTCCATCATCAGCTATAAGTCATCATGCATTCATTTTGATAAGAGTCTCCTGAGTGCACCTCAACATGTGTAATTTAGTGTGTTACCAGTTCCGAACTCAGTTTCACATTTGAGTAGCTCTTGTACCCAAAATTTCATAATGGTACTTGTGAGGTGCATGCTATTATGAAAATGAATTTAAGTAGTATATAGCGTGACTGTTTTGGTCAAAGTTGTAGGACTAGACCACTGATTGGTGAGTCTTCTATAGAGAGAAACAAAAATGATTGGCCGACTTCAGCACCTACATCAACGAATCTTAGTCCCGTCCCAGTTTCTAGCTCCGGAACTTCAGCACTACCTACAGTATAAACACCTCGCTGTCGAACTCTCCTATCAGTGTTTCCCGAACAACCTTCCTGTCCTAGCTATCCACACTGTTATGTGCTATATCCACCTAGTCTTTCTAGTTGTTCTCATTATTACAAACTTCTGCTTTAGGTTCAGGAAAAACACCGGTTCCACAATAGCTTCAGATTTCCTCAAGAAACACCTGATATCGCCTTTCTTAAACTTGAAGGCTGCATTATCTTCAACTAATTTGGAATCAGCGAAGTTGAATGATTAAAACCACAATGGCGACAACAGTGAGATATTGTTTATTACAAAAAATTCACTCATTGCTGAAAACCTATTATGACCTTACATCTCATGTCTTTTTTGCACAGATCACTTATATTCGGCTTCCAGCTGCGTTCCTGTTCTGCTCCATCTTCTCGGTTTCCCTGTTGTTAGCCAATCAACCCTGTTCTTCATTCAAGAACATCAGTCACTTGGTCATGTGTTCTTGTGACTTTTACTGAAGATAAAGTTAAACATACTATTTAAACTCATTCCTATCAGAAGTGTGCATCACACTAGTCATATAAGAATAAACTGTTAAGCGCTTCAGTAATAAATATATTAACGTAACTATTGAATCCCTTCATAAATATGAAGTTGCTTCTGTTATTTCTATTCCACACTTTTAAATTAGGAAAACGGATTCCTGATTCCAATATCAAACCTTTACTTCTGCACAATCCTACTCAAATACACATGTTTAGAGTGTCAAACAATTTATACATGAAGAAAATTTCAATCATCTTTCACCCTGAACTTACATTAAAATCTTTTTGATAGTTCAGATCGATTAAGGTCATGTAGTGGCATCGTGACGTAAATCTTTCTCATGTACTTCTCTGTAATTGTTTGTGATCTCACTTCAGTGGTTACAGAAACGTCACTAATTCTTATGTCTACTGCATACAAAAATGTACAATAATTTAATACGTTGTTAGGTGTGTGATTTTATTGGTTCTTTGATTAGAGCATTGAATACTGATCCACAAATTAATCCACCGACTTCATGTATAGCTTAATGGGCCAGTAATTGAATACAACAATATTGCCATAAAATAGGCTATATAATTTAATTTTAAGTAGTCCTACTCCTGTCAATTCACGATGTAGTACTACTACCGTACAACTGGTTTCTGTTCGTGCTGAGTACTACCTTGAAGTAAGTAAAATCCACATAGACCTCAAACTAGATAATTTAACTATTATTTGTTGATCTATTTCATTCTCCCTGGCTAAACTGAATTGAATTGATCACCCTGTGTTCGCATATAGGCTCGGTATTGCCTTAACAATTATAATTAAAGTTTACTTGGTTGTGGATAGCAGAAGAATTCAAGACGCGCGTTCGTTTTATTTGGAGCTCGTTAGCTGCGTGTGCTTGCACCCCAGTCAATGATATTGTTCCCACAGAACCAAATGCGCGTCTTGGATTACATCACTAACAACAAACAAGTCAATTGCAGATTGTTAAGTTGTTAACTATAGAGAGGTTGAGTGAATCACCAGAGAAAAAATTTTCTTCTACTTAGTTGCCAAACTTACCACGGAGTTGAAGTGGAGGTAAAATCTAACACTTCCGTAGAATGCCACCACATGGACTAATCTTGTTCAAAATGAAATCTTGAAAAACAAAATGAACTGTGAAAAGGCTTAGTCTCTTACGAGTAAACATTTAGTCAATTTATATAACAAAACCACAAACTTACGTTAATTATGTACCCGTTGTCACGACAAGATACTGCTTTCCTTCCAAACACAAAACATATCCCAGGATGACTTCTACTATGAACTTTTACTTCATATAAAAGACTTTCTGTAGAATTTCTGAACTGGAGAACTGTGTTTTCATCTGTATAACCCTCCTATACTCAAAAATACATAAAATTTAATTATTAGCGAAACAAATCCGTCAATTTAACGACCGAAACATGTATCGAAGATAATTTTCGTAGCATAATAAGACTAACAAAGAATCACTGGGATACACTGCATATCAGTTCACTACCACTTCTATTCATTAATAATTATTTATTGATGCTGGTTGATAACTGAAGGTGAAATGAAAATTTGGGCCGCAGTGGGATTCGGACCAGTGACCATCGGGTTTCTGGCCCAGTGTCCTACCAATTAAGCTACGAGGCACGACTGCTGACCAGATTTTTATCTCACAAAGAATAACCAAGGGTTTCAACCAGTTGCCTCGGGAATTCACGATGCGTTACTATCGGTAGATCTTATTCACACTGGTTGCCCTGTCACGACTTCTCATCCTTATCCTAGTATAAGTGAATTAGAAAGGGGAAGCATCGTACTGATTATCATTTTGACTATCTGAGATAGACATTGTTTGACAGATTTACGTTTATATTGGGTGACGACTGAAGGCAACATAAAAGTCTGGACCATAGCAGGACTCCAACCACCAACGAAAGGTCTTGGTTTGATGAACCTATTCCAGTTATATTCACTTTAGTTTCAAAATTATCATTTATTTATTGATACTGGAGAATCCGTTCACATATTTCCTTCTGTATGTACATTGATAAAAAAATAACAGCCAAAAATCACAAGTAATTTTTTCCATCTATCAAAGAACTTTTGTAATTCAAACTGCACTTACAATTGCAGCTTATTTTCTCTTCCTTATTGGGTTGACAAAAAAACAGTACTCATTAACTGATCAATTTTCACTGCTTTTTTGCCTCTAGTAGTGATGAAAATGTAGTCTACTTAGCGTTAGGGAAATCTGATATCACTGCTTCCCTGAACTCGGTGCTCATGAAATTTCTGGGAATCAAACCTAGTTGTTCAAAGATCGTTCACATATTTATGAACCAGTCCCATGAAAGTCAGTGGTATCTTCGTCTTTAGATAGTTATTCAAAAATACTTATTGCTCCTAGCTGAAACTTTTATTCAGAAAACACTATTCTTGTTTTGGACTAACCATCCATATGCATATAAATCCGTTAGTCTTCATACAATACTAAAACACACAGCACTTACTTATTTAAGCTTCGTAGAGTTATTACCAAGTTAGTCAGTTAAAATGGCTGCCTCATGTTAAACAGATGATATCTATGATTACAGTAGACCAACGACAGGAATTTTAAAATCTTTTCCATAGCTAAACAGTACTTTCTTTAACATAGATTCAGCAGCAGAAACTTCAAAGAGATTAAAAGACGAAAAATATTTGAATTTCTTTTCAAAAATCATCCCTGGAAAAAAAATAAATCCTGGTCTTTTCTTCTTACACAGATATCAAAAACGTATGCTTTTGTATAGCACGCCAACGAAGAATCAAGCCAATAAAAAAAATTTGTGTTCTAGATGAATTTTAAAGTCTGTATTCTAGATCCCCAGGAACCAACTACCTAGTGGGTTATAGCTTCCTTTTCTAACCTGTTATTTTATCCATCTTTGCAACGTTTTTAACTAACCATGTCATTTACAGTTAGTCAAATTGCCCATTCATCTGTTATCCCTTACATGACTGGTTTAAATTTACTTTAATGGAATTGAGAATAGTCGGTTTGATAGCCTGTGTGATGACGTATGGATATTTTTGTTCATATTACGCTAAATCGTTAAGAAAATATTTTGAAATTGAAGTGAAGTTAACAACTTATCAGAGATGACGGTCCTAGATCTGGTCTGGAACATCCGTTCAGTATTCAGGAGTCCAGCGGCTCATGTTTATACACCTTAAGTATCGTCTGTAGATGAAATACAATTTTATCAACTAAATTTATTATGGAAAATTTTGAAAGTAGCCCAAATTCATCTGGAATCACTTAACATGTGAATAATACAGTATGTATAACCTGTTACTGGTCTATTGATTGACTGGTTCAGTAATTTCTCTAGGAGTAAGGTTAACTGATAAGGTTTGGAAACTTCCTGAAGAAATAAAATTATCTTCAGTTGCTGAAATTATGTATTGATGTGTACAAAACCAGAGCGAGAACTGATCCAAACATCTTGGTATGGATTTCCACCGGCTGTTCAAAAGCTGAGAGTGAAATATTCTACAGTCTATGGAATACTGATCGATTTGTACACTCACCAAAATATGATCCGTATGCATTCGTGCAAATGTCTTAGTTAATATCCCTATAACAGGCTTACACGTTATTTAAAATAATAGTTGTAGGTGATTAGTTTCACTATATCTTGAAACAAAATAGTCTATTACTAATATAAATCTTAATCTATGATCAAAAAAGCACTCACCATAAAAAGATATTCATAGTCACTTTTGAGCGCTTTACTCAGAATTGGGAAATATAACATATAAAAGTCAACATTCATTGGTTCATCGTGTCGTCCAAATCCGAGGCCAAAAAATTTCACTTGATTTCTCCCATCCGTCTCATAATTATTTTTATTACTACGATAGTTTAATTCGTTTGTGTTTAAACAAACAGAAAAATTTAACCATATCTGATGACTATCCACAGACCAATTAAGACTGTATTCATCATTTTGACTCAAATGTGCTGAATATTCAGAAAAATCGTCACCATTGGAAAAGTGAATGTACACATTGACGATGATAAACAATGTCAAATAAATGATAGACATATAGTAAATAAGTGAAATGAAGAGTATTTTCGTCAACTTGTTTTTATTGCCTTTATAGTATTTCTTGACCTTTTATAGACATTCGTTGATAAATCCACTTAGCCCCAACAGCAGTTATTCGCTGTTTCAGTGTGTTTGTGTTTTTTTTAAAATTTATCCAATTACTTATTTTTCACATTCTCTAAATCAGGCACAGCTGATTTGTATAGAAGGAGTGAGTAAATATATTCGTATACACTGTTATTGAGGCGAACGAATGAGGATTGGCCAACTTAATACATCTCATTACCTTGGTCGACTGAAATAACGGAATTAAAATTTCATTTGAAGGAAGGGAGTAGATGAGATGAATTCATTTCACTTGTTTCTTTCCAGTTGTAGAATCTTAAGAAAATGATACTGTATAAAAAGGGAGTAGTTTGCGCATGGCTAAGGTTTTGGTAGATAAACATCAAAAGAGTAAAATCATCACAAAAGTTGATACATTTATTCTAGTTGAATTTTAAAAACTCATTCTTAAGTCAGAAAATAAATATTTGGGATGCTAAGATGATTAACTGAAAATGCATTGCTGACAACCAAATATGCAGTACGCTTACGCTTAACGAACCTCACCTACTGCTGAAGTGTAGTCAAATTAGGATTATGTATAGGAAATCAGTGGTCCACAATACAAAGGCAGTTTACATAAGATACTTAAAAAAACTAATAGCATAGTGCTTTGGGGTTCCATAAATGAAAACTAACAGTGGATAATATAAAATAAATGCATATAATCTTATTTATATCATCTTTTTACTCTGCTAGTATGCTTCTGCAAGAAACAAGGGATATTATTTGTTATCAGAGTCATAATATTTAAACGACATTTTATGTTTACGATTCAATGAGACGTCGATAAGTATTTCTTTAGGACTTGTGTTGGTTAACATATGAAACTAAAAGATGATCACTTATATGGAACTGATGGATGTTGTTTTTGTTCAAGGAGTGTTAAAGGTACTTTTTAGGCTTCTTATGACTCCATATTTTCCCAAACATCTATTACAATAATGGGTTTGCAACAAGATAGTAAAATAAAGAGTTAAACGTTCCGAATATATTTAAATTACAGGTGACCACCGCAATACTATATGGAACTATGATGCTGAAGCTTCAACCTATTCTCTCCCATCAGATAGTAGATAAATTTAATGATAGAAGAACTGTACTACACAACGAAACATTAAACCGTAATTAAACTGACTGGAGAATATCTGCGTCCTAGCATTTTAAAAATATAGTTTATCAGGAGTCACTATAATAGTGAAAGAAAATATGAGAATATTTGAGTAACTTTCAAGTTTGACTTTCATCCATGATGATAATGTGGAAGCTATCAGTAGACGTGCGGGAATCGCACTATTTTCCTATATTCCACAGGATTTTTGACAAAGCTGTTGAGAGTGAATAACAGTCAAACTCTCAATTTCTCAAACTACATTTACTCATTCATGTATGAATATATAACTGATCAAGCTAGAAGTGCAAGTGAGTGGGTGTCAGCCTTAGCTTTTGAACAGAAATAAATAAATGAATGACCTCTTTTGTTGTTGACCGGTGGAGTCAAAGCCTGATGGCCGTGAGGACAGATACTCAACGATGACATTGAGTGGCGGTTCGCGCTATATCGTGAGCTAACAGAAGTTGGAAATATGGAGCATTGGGTCCTGACCCAGTGGCTCAATGGTAACGCGCTGGCCGGGGAACCTGAAGGTCACGGGTTCGATCCCTGGCGGGTCATGGGTGCGCACTGCTGAGGAGTCCCATACTAGGGAGAAAACAGCTGTCCAGTGCTCCCAGGTTTCCTTTGTTCCTCCAACTGATGTCAGTCTACGATGGATAACAACTTGAAACTTGGAATAATTATGAACGTAGTAGCAAAACAAGTGACTAAAGTCATAAACTATATCACAAGTTCACTAAGATAAATTATTAAATTAGTCATGGAGAAATTATTTTTCAGCGTTTGTAATAATACTGTTATCTGAAATAATGTTACCCAATACTTCATGTCACTTTTACTTTCTAACTTCTAGCTTTTCTTTGGACTACTCCTTTCAGTGTTTGAAACCATCATTATGGGATCGTTCTTAGCTAATTTCGTCATAACAAAAGGGGGATTGTACAACCTCTGGAAACGATATCAGTTCAAAGAAAAAACCATCTATACTGCTACATGCTTGCTGCATTGCATTTCTGCAAGTGAAGCATTCAGTAGTTGGAACTCTTGATTCAACCACATACGTTACTTGCTTTAAATTAATTTTGGAAATAAACAATGCAGCTCCTTGTTTTCATTGACTATTTACATGCTATTTATGGAAATATACAAACCAATAATTTCATTTAAAATCAGATCTAAGTTTTACTTGCATAAGCCTCAACGTGTTCGAGATGAAATAATTCCAACATTTTGCTTAGAAGTGTAGTCCGAGGTTCTCCAGGGAAATAACGATAAATTGAAGCGTCAAAATATGTACTTATTTCCCTTGTACTATTCTGATAATATAACCAGTGTCTTTGAAACATACTGCTTGTCATTCAACTTCTTCTTTACCGAAAATTTGCAACGAAATCGGTCACAGGTGACATCGTAATCAGTACGTAATTGTGTGTACATGCACGGTGGGATATACCAAATGGATATCACTGTATAAGAGTAGTTTGATATCAGCGAATTTCCACTGCACTCTTTGTTAAAATAGAGATAAATAGTAAGGATGGTGTTGATTACGATAATAATGCAACAGATAAATTTAGATAGTATGCTGTTGTTTATGAAAAAAAATGCAAAACAAGAGTCATGATGTAGGTTAGTACAAACTACTCATTTTTGACTTTCTGATTGGTAGTAGCTGGGAGGCAGATAACTGGACTTTATCCTACTTGTTCAAACTATTTGAGTTCATCCATTTATGTAATGTATTGGCATTTAGTTTGTCTCGGTACTATCCGAAACCCGTTATTTAAACCTTGGTTCTGTCAGAATCACTTTCGTAGTTCAGTTCCGTGAAGTATGTTACAATCTCCAGATATTTGACGTCTGCTGAGGTTTCGAGGTTCGATCAAGAAATATTCTATGCCTAATCGATATTAGGTTTTTCTGTATGAATGTCTCCTTTAAATATACAAAATTGCATTCGAATCATTTTGCTTCGTAAACACAGTTCTGTTGCTTTTTTGTAACTGGTATATCCTTAAACTTAATCACGAAGGAGAGTACAATAATGGTTACACGAAAACAAACATTTTTGTAACAGTTGTTAAGAATTAGCATTTCTTCATAATTCTCTTTACGCTATCCAATAACCAGCGTTAATACAGACAGCTCTTTGAACGGTACTTCGGCGCACGTTTAACTTCGTTTTTCAAGATTATACTTACAAGACTCTATAAGTGCCTATTCGCTCTCAGTGTGCAGTGGACTAAATTTAACTCTTCATTTCTATCCTTTTCCAATGTAACAAGACCATTAGCTCTGTTCATCAGACTTCTTGCAACTATTACTGCCGTGGTTAGTTGCAAGGATAGATAATCCAAGTATCTGCCAGAACGTGCTTGTTTCGAAAAGTGTTTATATTCTCCCTTAAAAGCCTATTTTTGTAAACTGGATCCAATCTTTTTGGAAAAAGTAATACTTTTCGATTCACTGTTTATGTCTCAAAATTTCGTCCAAACTGTCACCTTTAGTGACAGCTTTCTTATCTTCTCAGTACCTTAACAAAATCCACGGACATCTAGAAAACTTCAAGATTACATGAGTCTCTAGTAGATGTGTTAGTTTTAATATCTTCACAGTGACTTGACAGAGCCTGAATGATGTAATGTAAACACTTGTTCAAATATCTTCAGATTCCACCCTTAACGGTCACTCAGTTTCTCCGTAAATAAAAAAGGTGTAATAAGACAGGTGTATTTACAACGTCATCACTGTGTACAAATTACAGGGTATATATATATATATATATATATATATATATATATATACATTACCATGACCTGGCTATTTCCAGTCATTCCAGATTTAAATTCTATTGGTTTTTCATCTCTTCAACCAACCTGATACTTACACATTGGTTAACGTTTTTTCCCGATACTTCAAAACGAAGCGATTGGTTGAAAAAGTCCTTAACGGTTTACGGTAACTTATGAATATTTCGGTTATCTGATTCCATACTACAATAATTAACCGATAAGAAACTGTCAGACGTGCTGGGAGATGAAGGTGATAAGGAAGTATTTCTTTCCATCCTTTTCTGACCAGGGATCCACATCAGATAGAGAAAAGTAGAAACTTGAAAATGTTTGAAAGCTATTTCGTTCAAATTCGCAGCTCTTAAAAGTGTGTACGCACAGCGTTATGAATTATCGATCGCAGTTAGGTCAGCTCTTGTAAAGAGAAATTTATTATTCACCTACAAATTCACCATAACAACAATGCTTATGAAATCGTTCCACAAGTTATATCCAATATTATCAAAAAATATTCTCTAAATAATCACAAGCCCTTATAGTAATTTACTTTGATATAAATGTATTATCTATTTACTTCAGGATAAAAATTTGATCTGATAAAGTTGAATAAGTTTAGCAAAGGGTAAATGTAGAAAAATAAATTTCTGACGTTTCAGGACCTCGTGGAAACCTTCTCCTCAGAGAATAAAACCTATACAAGTCATTTCATGTTTAAATAGTAAATTTGTTTTACTACCTCGTTGGAATTTTATAAATACATTTCCCTATAAACAAGTATCGATAGTTTATGGTTAAAAAGAGATCGTGCTATGCAAAACTTTTTCACATCAACCACTGTATTTCTGAAGCAGGTGTTTCAGGTCTCAAGACTGAGCTAATCAAACCATTATGGAACCAGAGAAAATTGTAAGAACGTTCAACACATATTTTACCGTTTATATATATTTAAAACACAGACAAAATTATTCCCCAACCTTCAAAACACACATAAACACGAACAAGCGTAAACCGTATTACAATGAAATTTGTTTTAACCGGTGTTACAGTGATCCATAATGTTAATTAGCCTATAATAGGTAATTGGAAGATTACAGCTAGAATAGTATCATTTTTATTAAGTAATTGATGTGTTGCAGACAGAAATTCAATCATTTTTGTTCAAAACGTCCAAAGATCATTTTGTGTGATATAAAGATGAAGAATTAATGACCGAAAAGGTTTATAAGTTCACCTGTGTATATGTGAATATTTGAAGATGAAAAGCGCAAAGCATTGCAACCCTTGAAAAAGAAGTCACGCGACTGTATTGGAACAATAACGACACTAACAAATTAAGTAATCATTTGGAATCTTGAATCTCCCAGTCAATCAATAAAAAGACGAATGGCGTTACAAATAACTAGAAACTTCAAAAAGTACTATAAGTTGTGCGCTGATAGCACCAGTCGTATTAAATGTATTTGGAAAACGAAGAGAGGGAGACTGATAGATAGACAGAAATAAAGAGGAAGTTGTATAAAGCATAACTGTTACGTCATGTTTATATGGTATGAAAATGTTGATTGTAGTTTTTCTTTTACCTAAAATGGATATTTTGATACTGAAATGTAGACATAAAATGAATGTTGGAACACTAGTTTATATTTCCTATTAGGTTGATTATGATTATTGATATCCCACAAAGTATTAACAAACCATGTCTCATTGCCAGTATTATAATCCTTAACATTGGAAGTAGGCGCAGTGATAAATGCTGCATTGACAGATGGAGGAATTGGTGTTACATTTGTTTCTTTAGATCCTGTTGTAAAGGTTTCTGCTACAGGTCCTGATGCAGTTGCAGATGGCAACGATAATAGAGTGGAATCTTCTTCATAGCATGAAACTCGGAAAAATAGATAATATAATTGGTCAGATTTAGCATAATTTTTTTCTTTACCATATATATTGGTTTCATTAGTTGCTTCTTCAATATGTGCGCTTAAAAGTGTTCGTTCACGTGTGTAGTTCGAAGTTGTGTTTGAACTCCAGTTTGGTGTTAGATAAACAACCCCATCTTCAGTTCGATGATTGACTGGTGTGTTAGGTGCTTTGTCCAGTAGTTGATAATAACAGTTCGACTGTTGGACCTTGATCATTTAGGAAATAGTAGAATTAAATAAAATATATACTTTACTGTATTGTATATGAGCTGATTTCATTTCTTAATGACAACGAGATTCGAATTCACTGGTCGAGGATTACTCAATGTATGTGGAGTATATGAACTTGTACATTCAGTTTACTTCACTCTAATAAGGTTTCAGTGAACAACAAATTACCTCTAAAAAGTCAATAATGGTAAAGCCGTTAACCCTTTTTCAGTCAGTTCTGTCCATAACAATCCCGAAAGCATGTTGCTATTTAATATTTAAAATAATACTCCACAAAGTGTATTGTGTAATATGAATATGCTTGTCTATTCATGAGAGTGTCCATTCTTCGAAATGTATCTGCTGCAACTACACTTTTATAGTGTATGGCTGTAGACAGTAAAAAATAATGAACCTAATCTGTTCATTATGAATAGTTGGCTTACCGAATTTCAGTAGTATCTATGTTCGTACACCTTGCTCAACAGTCAAATATAACCACTCATTTTACATTTACTACTCATTTTTCGAGAAAAGTTATGAAATAGAGCTTTTAAAAAAAATTAAAAATCAAACTCTTTTTGTTCTTTCACCCTGCAGTTTGATCAAAATGATTTTATGGAGCTGATAAAATAGATCTAATTAAGGTGCTTTCATTCTTGTGTATCTGTGAAAATGTATGAATATAGCGAATGTGTGATGTGCTTAATAAAGAATGTCATCATGTCCATTTTGAACATAACATGGATATTGTTTCTCACATAGGGTTTTATGAATTTTGTTAAAAAGGTGCATATACACTTCTATAAAGTGTAACTGGAAAGATATAAAGAGGTCTACTTTATAAACTGCAGATAATACACCTTACTATCAAGCTTCAAAATGTAACAAAACAAACAGTGGGCAATGTCACCAATTAAAATGCATATTATGACCTTTAACTTATTCACCTTTTTCTTCGTCTTCTCTTACATCCCTGCAACCATCTTGCATAATACATGTTTATTTTATATACTATTATGATAGTATTCCTGTTAACGATTTTTTTATTTCCTAAAGTACTTCTGGATTTCATTTTTCATTTCAGCCAATTCCCAATAGAAAGTAGTTTTCATCACCGAATGACATCGACTGAAGAATCACTGAAAACTGAAGAGCATTAGACTACTGTTTTAGACGTGTTCGGAACTCCTCAGTAGTATGCGCCTATGAAGAGCCAACTTTAGGATAATCAGGATGATCATGACAAGCGTATTATCACTCCGTCAGTCGATTGGAAACCCATTGCCAACAAGACTGGAAACCATATTCAGAGCATGCTGGCCATTGGCTTTTACCAGCTAACAAGTTACTTCTACATAACATTTCCAAAGTTGTATGTTTTTGAAAGATAAAATGCGCAGAATAATATAGATGGAATCCTACCTATCAAAACGGACATTTAAAAATTCTTTGTTCTCACTGTAACGGCTCTTCACTTCTCTTCTAGTTTTCATTGCATAGTTATTAATATTCACCCATATTTCTTTCTTTATCTATCTGGTAATTTAGGCATGGATCAATAAACGTGTTATACAGGCAACTAATAATGATCTTGGAAATGATTTGGATCATTGTTGTAATCTAAGAGATAAATTTTTAATATTCTCCAAAGAGACTACTCAAATCGGTTCACGACTCGTTGCATCTTTATCAGCTAAATGTGTACATCTTATTACTTTGGGGAGATCAGATTCTGTTGTAATAGCATCAATTAAAGATAATATCAATGAAATATGGGCTGAACTATTGGAATTAATTGAGACAAGAAGACAATTGTTAAAAGCTGCACTGGATATGCATCGATTTGTCAATGATTGTAGAGTAAGTGACGTAATTACACTCACATTCTTACGTGATAACACTCCAAACTCTTCTGTCCTCATTGAGACTGTTTAAATGTCTGTAATATCTAATAAATCTTTTCTTCTTAGAAGCTACAGGTTTTCACAGGTCAAAGACTCTTCAACCAGTATTTAACTCGATGCTTTTGTTATCATTTAGACTTATCGCTTTGAATTTACGTACATAATCTAGTTTCAGGTGGTGACAAGTAAACATACAGGCTCATTTAAGTGCCCTACTAGCTAGTTTCAAAACGAAAGCAAAGTAAAGTATCTGCACACCGAAAACACTTACAATAGTCTTTTGAAGTTTATCAGGATATTATGTTTAAGGTAGTATTTATGACGAACTGATGTCACCAGTTGAAGAGCCGTTGGGAACCTGGAAGCAGTGGATAGGTGATTCGTCTAGGTATGGAACTCCTTAGTAGTATGCTTCCATAACTGAAGTCAAGACGCCGAGGTCTCGCAGTGAATCCTGTAACTAGTCAGAAACTCAGCTGAATTTCAGTGGTCCACAGTTTTCTACTACTGTCTTTTCACTATATAACGTGACTATTCACCATGGTCTTTAATCGGTATCTACTTTACTTCCAAATGGCTAACCCCACAAGATCTTTGGGATATCCATCTCAAAGTATGTCAGTAATGAGTACTATGCAGTAACTTAGTTTGACAGTCGTAGGGATTTTATTTATTTCCAGTTAGTATTCATCGTGGGCTGACATCAGTTGAAGAACCATTGGAAACCCGCAAGTACTGGACCTCTGTTTCGTCCTATTATGGGGCTTTTCAGCAGTTCGCACTCTTACAATTACAACAAGCATCAGAAGAAAACCAAAGTTTCACTATTCTACTGAGCCTATTAGTACGTGTTCGGAACTCCTCAGTAGTATGCGCCTATGAAGAGCCAACTTTAGGATAATCAGGATGATCATGACAAGCGTATTATCACTCCGTCAGTCGATTGGAAACCCATGGCCTCTGTTTATTAACTTTGCTAATTCGTGATGCAGCATGACTACAGTTTGATGTCATTGGGGTACCTGTTCAAGTAGCTTAAATAAGTGACCTTAGAGACTGCAGTTTTTCATCAAAACATTGGGAAACACATTCATACTTTAGAATTGATCGATCCCTAAAAATCTCCAACTAAGTTCTCTACTCACTGGCTTTATTCTCTGCACAAATCGTATTCTTATTTCACTAGAATTTACACAGTACTATCCATCAGTTCTGTCAAAGCAAGCAACATTATTTTCTGTTAAATGACTATGCATTTTGTTTGTGTGCAGACTAAAATCATAATTATTTATGTCCCTAATAGGATATTCTATTCTTTGAATGCAGATTTCTCCATACTGATCGTTTTACCAGATACGGGTGCACCCTTGTGTTATGCTACCATACCATATGCTACCACACCCTTAGTTGTATGTTTATTCAAAGCGATTGTGTACTATCAGTTTTGACTGAATCATCTTCTTACTGGATCATCTTTGAAAAAAACATTTCTAATAGTGTACATAGTTGGAAAAAGAGAGCAATTAATTAAAATAATATAGAGTATCTAATTGTTTCTCATCAAATAAACATTTACCAACTCCTATAATACATGTCATTAGCACACTCTACTTGAGATTAAGCAATTCAAAAACAATAAGAATACCCTCACACACATGTTCGTTATGCTTCTGTCTAGTCGGTTTGTGAATAAAAGGAGAACACATGGGGACTAAAAATAAATCTGTTCTCACTTTTTAAAATAAAACCACTACAAAATTAGTGGCTATACTTGACCAATTTAGAAATGTATTTTCGAGATGAATTACTTGTCATTTTCAGCATAACGATCTCAACGTGCGCAAGCTACAGTTTCCTCTGAGTTTATTTCGAGTGTGATTTTTTGGAAGGATAACTGATAAATAATATTAAGTTATCTAATCAGTTGTCTATATCGTCCTGATAAAGTATCTTTAAATTACAACCCAAGGATTCATGCTTTGCTAATGTTATTGTTCAGTGTTTTAGCTTTGTTCTGTAATAATATATAATAAGTTTTATCTGTGGATGGAATTACTATGTAACTTTTTCCTTAGTTTGTTTTAATTCAACTTTAGGTGGAACCTTAAGCGATCTCCTTTTAATTTCTCTCCATGTCTTCTTGTAGTTCTGAATTTATACAGAATAGTACATTACTTTTCTTGCTTTTATTATAGCTCCTGAGTCAAATAACATCAAAACCGATGATGAGATTTACTACGTATGTTAACCGTTTCTTAGCATCAATGTTTTGATGATACATAAACAAAGAGGAAAAAAGTAAGGCCTCTTATGAATTTGGAAGCTCTGGCAAGGAAAAATCAAGCTTCGGGAGCAGCATAAATGTAAATTCAATCCCTACTTAGAAGGAAAATTCAAATCAAAATTGACATATTATGCTAACATTTGGGTAAAGTACAATGAAATGAAGGTATCAGGCTTCAAACACTGCTAAAATACCACTTAGTGTTAATACAGTATGTTGGACTGCTTTCTTCTCAATTGTCAGCAAGCATTTCTCTGATAAAGCGCTTTCAATAATTGCAAAAAGTCAATGAATCCTTTGCTACTACTGACCACTGGAAAAACATTCCTATCATACCGACTCATGGTTGGTAATAAAAATATAGAATTAATTGGTTTTCTAAAAAAGCAAGGCTTGTTTTTCTCTATGTTTGAACACCTTTCAAACATTACTTTCACAATTGCAGATTCCAATGGGAAATTACTGCGAAGCAGAAGTACAAATTTGCTTACCGACCTGCATAATTTTCATAGCTTAAGGTAATTCTACTGGTTTTAGAGCTTATTCAACACGCATGATTCTTGGGTTTAGGCCAACAAATGAAGTGTGCAGTGACGTCTGGTCACACATTCATTGTTCCATCGCATTTTTGGACTGTTAGACTTATACCAGTACTTAGAAGTGGAGTACTGAATCGCTTGTCATCTAATAAACAGTTTGACTATGTACGTTGACCTTAGACCTTAGCACTTCTTGACGTGTTAAGTGTAGCGACAATGTTCATGACTTCGTAGTTAGGTTCAGCTTTCCGGGGTACAGATACGCCTTACTGCTAAGTGACAGTCAGAACGAATACTAAACACAAACCTTCACACCCACCACCCAGGACTTCGCATCACTTTAGTATTTGTCAACTGTGTGCATAAGAACAAGTAAAATAGCATGATAAACTTGTTATTTAGTAATTGTAAACTTGATAGGCGGTTTTGGTGGTCTCTATGTCATTTTACTATCACCGACTGTCTAAGAAAAATCCACTTCACTGACAGGTATTTAGCTTGTCAGAAACCAGGAAAGGTATTCGATACATTACTTTTCGTATCAGTATATTTTTTATTTGCTTACAGTTTATCTTCAGTTTGACAATTTATAAAGCATGCATACCACATTAACGATAGGAAAAATTATGACTTACTTGATGCCAGTCAACAACACGAAGCATTATTCGTGATCCAGTAACACGAAATGATTCGGGTGGTGGGAGACTAACAATTAGATATTCCACTGTGTCAGCAAACATAGCCCCATGGGGACAAGTCAACTTAGAGTCAGTACATCGTATTCTGCAAGACCTGAATTGGTAAATATGAAAAAAACAGGTGAACCACTTAAGTCACTGAGTGTTAGAAAAGAATTCAAAAGTGTTCTTGAGTTCTAGTCAACTGCTTAAATCTATTCAGTGATGAGTTTTTTTTAATTGGAGAAGTTGGCATTTCTTATGATCCTTTAACACATGTAAAATAAGATTAACTCACTTGTTCCATGTATTTTGAATCTTTTTACATTGAAGGGCACCATATTGACCGTAAAATAGATAGAATATCGAAAGAAATATTTGTTTCCGTCATAAGGCATCATTTCGTCGGAAACAAATCCCAGTCATGCAGATGCAACTAAAACTGAGCCTATAAGTTTGTCAGTATACTTATTATCTTGTTAAGAATATTCCCATCTGAAAATTCGGTGAGTACAAAAGTCTTCCGTAGATTCACAAATAGATACACATTGTTTCGCAAAAACCGAATATGCTTTTTCAGTGAGAAACTCTAACGCTTCTTCAATAAACTTGAGATTTTAGGCTAATAATTCGATTTATATGGCAATAACTTCATACTTAAGTGGATCCAGGTATCTCATGTTCACTTAAGGTGCACATCACAGATTATTAGTATACAAATATCGCGTTATAAATGTTCCAGGATCTATACTGTCAAACCGTCAGCACTATTTTGTTGGAGTATTTTGAAGAGAGCACATAATTTGAAATATAAATCATCTTGTTTTTAGTCAAGTAGCATAATAACACAGTTGCAAAACATCTGGACGGATTATCAGATGACATAAGGTCGAGTCTTTGAAATGACACGATTCCCCCAAAACAGTTGAAGACAGTAAGTAACTGAGTCCTAGGAGGCACAAAACCTAATCGAATCGGTTCTCACAATTTGCTTTATGAAACTCGAGTATCAATTAGTTAAACGATATGTTTATTTTGCATATTACAACATTTATTTCAAAGAAAATTGAAATTTGCGATTGGCAGATTATCTGTTTTCCCTTCAAAACTCACCTAGATTTTTTATCGAAAATATAATTTTCTGGACACCTTTGTTGAACACATGTATAATTTCCTGGAAGATTTAAGCAAACTTCATCCGATCTACAAGGATTGCCTAAATTACATTCATTTATATCTGAAAAAGTAAAGCAAAGTAGAAGTAAATCATTACAAGTTATAACATGGGAAAGTAAAAGTGTTCTAGTACTTTCATGTTTCATGTTCGGTGTTACACTGCTTGGTACTGTACTCAGTAAACTTTTGCATTTCTACTGGAGAAACATGATGCAATGTTTAATAACTGGAGTTTCGTTTTATGTAACTATTCTGTTAACTTCAAGTTCCATGTTTTCCATTCTCACACCTGATGTTCTTGTCAGAACATCAGTTTTCCTCTGAAGTCGACAAGGCGAAGTTGCTTCTTATTGCTTAAGTTATTTTCAGTTCTTAACCGAATGCACTCCATTTCTCCATTACTGTAAACAGATAATTTTAGGAACCTACTGTGTTACACAAACGAATACTGGGTTATTTACCACATAAATACGTCATTGTATCTTATAACTCAGCCTTTTGAAAACCCAGTACGAACTAAACCTTATTCCTGACCAAACAATCTAGAGTGACCAATCCCCTTGAAGCATTTAAATGCTAGGTGTATAGATTAGTATGTATCTGAGGCATGTCAACGTACAGTGAGATTATAAAAAAACTTATTACTGTGTCACAGGTTATGCTTTGATAAACTCAATAAAAACCTGTAGTTAATAGTTGTAATTAGCAATATGCACAACTTTTTTGCACAGTATACGTGTATGTGTGGGCAATCTTCTTCAAAAGCTAATATCACTTTAATTAATGCTGAAAGGCTGGAATACTTGGAAGTGCGATAAACATATTCTTAGAGATAATGAAATCAGGCACCAATCATATTTTCGATATTTGCATGCAAACATCAAATGGCTGTTCACTTTCATTAACGCTATCATCCTCCTTCAGTGTCATTGGTTTACTGCAGTTGTACGTCAATTCTTTTTCTCCTGAGATCACAATTTTGTTCCAAAACCATAAATAACTTGTCATAAAACTAACCACTGGTACATGATTAAAATCGATTTTGTTGCAAAATATGGCTAAACTAAACCTGGAGGAGTTTAAACATCCTTTGGAGATTTATAACCTTTAGAGCTAAGAATATTTCATTCACTTGGTCCCTACTAGGAGAAAAGAGGATTTCCAGTATTATATCAACACCTTCTCAGGGTTATAAAATCCGATTCTTATATGTTGTTTAAATGATGCATGAGTACGGACGATCAGGCCATGTTTCAAACAGTAATCAACTCAGTATTGACAGCTACTAATGAGTAGTAATTACTTATCGGATGGTACCAGATCAAAAATGAACATTCATGAAAGTTAAGTGTTTCGTTGCCAACTGAAGCCAAACCTGCAAAGACATTAAAAGGTACTTCTTAGCTTTTAGCTTAGTGATAAAGTGATAAAGTCACTAGTCGAATGACACTAATCAACAATTAGTGCTTCATCGGTCCACTGGTTACAAGCTGGGAAACCGAATTGTCTAAACAGCAAAACTATTCAAAGAATTAATACTGCTAAAATATTCCAAATGTTGGTGTGATCACTGGCAGTTATTTTAACTTGAGATAGTATCACAATAAAACACATAACTGTGTGTAAACTGTACATCAAAAAAATTAACTTATATTACACTGTCGTGTTTCAATATTGAGATAAGAGGTTAACTGATAAAAATTCAATCCTAGAAAATTTTATTATTTGGGTAGTTAGCACAGTACTTACCTTTGCATAAATTCGTTCGACGATCTACTTCATACCCTAATGGACAATCACAACGATACCCGCCATACGTATTTACACATTGATACTGACATGGGTTTGAGCCAAATGTTGGATTACATTCATCAATATCTATTTAATTTTCAGAGAAGTGAGAATTTGTCAAATTCATGTCTAAGACACCTTTAAGGATATACAAATACAGTATTGTGTTGTTTGTTAAAAGGCAGTTACACAAACGTTACGCTTAGATATACTTATTGTCGATAGTTGCTACATAATGTTATGAGTGCAATTTCGAGGAAAGTTGTGTTTTTTGTTTTATTTAACCTCATTAAACACTGGTGTCAATAAAGTCGGTCTACAAGCAGCTCAAAGACAACTTACATAACTGTTATTACTATTTATTGACATTATTATTCTCCGTTGTTTTGTTGGATGAATTTTTCCACCTCTGTTGGCACATAGGTTCCTATGCCCATGTATGTCAATAAATAGCAATAACTACTACCCGTTGTACAAGAAGTGGCTAACGTTCCTCCGTGGTATGGTGGATTACAGCTTGGCGTTTGAAGCGATGGGTACTAGGTTTGAGTTCATATGGGAACAACACTACTTACTGGGGTCCAGGTACATCCAGCTGACAACTCCCAAATAGGATGAAGCGTCCATCCTAGGTTCTTCTGCTAGCCACAACCACCCAGATTATTACATAACTGTATCTCTATAGAATGCAAGTGCGTCTTTAACACATAATTCTTCTCAAGGTCACAAACATATTGCTGCGATGACCGATAACAAACATTAAAAAAATAGTTGATGCTTAGTCAAACTACTGCAGCACAAAAATATTCTGGTCTTTAGAAAGAAATAAAGCATGGTATAGAATACTTCCTGGAAACTAGTTTAAGAAATTAACAAAACTTTTTCACCTACAAACTGTCCCCGTGGTCAAACTAGAAAAGGCAAATGCTAGATATTTTAACCGCACTGGTCAGTCAACTACAGTAATCATTTAGTTTTTCTATGATAAAAGACTTACAAATGGCCGTTAGCTTCCACCTTTTCTATAGTAATCAAGCTCTAAAGAAACCTGAGCTACATCACTGGAAGAATCTTTGGGCTCTGTTTACTTGTCATCGTTCCAGTGAATAAACTTGAAAGCTGCTTATTTCTTTCACTTTCAGTCAGTGCTAAATCCGAAGTGTTCACCGTTTGGTCATTAAAATCTTTTAAAATTCTTTTCATACCTTCCAACAATTTAAAACGCGTAACAAAAATTATGAAATTTCCCTTATCTGATAGCTCTTATAAGCTTAGTAGATTGATCTATTATTATTATTATTTATTATTTGTCCCTTTGGTTCCCAGTGGAACATAGGGCTTCAGTAGCACGTCTCCATTCCACTCTCTTCTCTGCCATTTTTAAACCTGGCTCCACGATTGCCCACAAGCTCTCATCCCCTCCTCACACGATCTCCTTCATGTCACCCTCAGACGCCCAACTCGTCGTTTTCCATCTGGGTTCCACTCGAGGGCCTGTCGCGTGATATCCCCGAATAGTTTTTTCAGTGCATGCCCAATCCATCTAGCACTTGGAAATTATTTTTGACAAAACAGTTTGCAATTGTCATGATTCACTTGAGAAAGTCAACTGTGAAGAAAGATTTCTTCGTCCAGCTTCTTACTCTTCCTTAATTAATAAAAGTTATTGAAATAAACTATTTATTTATTGGTAAAGTACACCTTTGAGTTTTTTTGAAAAGAATATGGAGTTATAAGAATCTGCTTACATGGAAAGTAGTTTTGGAAAAATTAGTATATGTGACATTATGGAATGTAACCAATTCATCCTTAAAGCTGAAAAAGGACCCATTAGTTGTGAATATCTCAAAGATTGTATCAGGATGCATCAGGATATGTCCTAATTATGCAACACACAACACTACTTTATGTGATGTAGTGAAGTCTTAGAAACAGAAAAGTTTATAGTAGCCTAACTCATTTTAAACGGGATAAAAATTAAGCGAAATATATATGGTAATATATTTTACTAAATTTCGAGCATCCCATCAGTATGTCTCTTGTTGACATTACTTGGATAATAACTGCCCTTAAGATCGCTTTTACGGTAACATAATTATCATACGTATTTCTTTAACTTTTCCTTTGTAGTTCTTCCCTTTCTATGGAGATGTAGAGTACGTGAAACTGGACGAATATATAGTTACCCCAGGTTATGTATCCTTCATTTTCGTTGGAATTAAGGGAGTCTCTTCAAGTGACAAATAAAGCAGAACTAGTGGTTATTACCAATATACAACAGTTAGAAAGTGTTAACAGTACAAAAAACACGGAAGATTTACAAGTTATCTGAATACCGAAATCGTGTGAGATGAAAAATTCCATATCTTATGACTGTGACCATCTTTCAACGACTACTAAAATTAATCCTGATTTTTCTTTATTTTTATAAAATACTTCAATAAGTCAATGAACAATGTTTTGGAAACCGTTGAAGCTTACCAATACAACCTTTTTCGCGATTCCATTGAAATCCTTCATTGCAAACTGCATCACGTCGATCTGAAACAAAACAACTTGTGTTTATAAGAAAATGATATATTATGTGTATTAGAAATTAGAGTTGAGCCTAAACTTATTTAAATGTGCTGATTCCATTGATTATATTTTTCACAAGTATATACAAGTAAGCAAGTAATCGGAGCCAGTATCGCAAAAACACTTTCCTGTTACAGCCCTTCTCACCAATTAATTTTCTGGAGTAATGTGATTATCATTATTACTCACTAGTAGTATCACTTAACTAACTATACTGCTACGACTTTCTTACCGTTCAGGGTTATAGATTACACTTTGATGTTGCCAACCATATGGCTAATCGTTTATCTACCGTTAGGACCTAAAGAGAACTATTAACTGACAGTCTGATTGCTGTTTTGTTTAAGTTGGTTCACGGTATTCATTGCTGGTATGTATGATATAACTAGTGAAAGGTTGTTTATCTATGAAGTGCATTATAACTTCCATCTCATTTTCAACTTGAGCTTTTAATGATTCACACAAAATAATTAAAGAATAACAAATAATTCTACATACTAATGATGGATCGTGGCTAGCAGTGGAATCCAGGATGAGCATTTTGTCCTATTTGGTACTCATCAGCTGGATATACCTGCTTCCCAGTGACTGATGTTGTTACTACCGGGGCATCCAGCTGACAAGTCCGAAATAGGACGAAATGCGTATCCTGGATTCCACTGCTAATCACATTCCATCATTAATATAATTAGAAAGCAGGCAATATCGAGGCACCCGCACAGCAGCCCATAGGCCAACAGAAAGCGATCAATTCGGTCCAATCAACGACGGCATGATATAAAAACAATTATACTAAATAATTCCCATATTTTTCTTGTGCTGATAATACATTATCTACCCATTTACAAAGTGACTTTGAACAAAAACCTATTGGGCAAAGAAATATATTTCTTTTCAGTTGTCTTCGTCTTCAGCTCTACACCAATTTGTAGGTTTAAATTCCTATTAAAATATCAATCAAGTGATGAGGGGGTTAATAAACAATAATTATAGACTTTAAGTAGGTCGTAATGATAAATTTGAAAAATCGAGGTGCAAATAATCAACAGAGTACTTATAGGTGATTATCAATGGTAATTATACCAATGTGAAACAAGTTATTCTTAGGCGAATTGCACAGTATCTAGTTAGGCAAACGGAGTGTTTTTCCTCGTGATCAGTCCTAAATAATAAATAACTACGTGAAAATAAGAAATCAAACAAATACTGAAGAAACAAAAGGAATAAAAGGCGTACAAAGTTATTCTAAAAGTTACGTCATGTTGACGGCCAAGGTATGTAAGAGGCTAAACATATTTCTTTCAGATAAAATGGTTAGGTTTGTAAAAGTGGATTGCATCCACCTCTGCTATTCGAAGCAGATGAATGCGTGATTCATTTGCTTAATTAACTGGTATGCGACACAAGTTTAAACAATGTGCTATTATCCACTTGATGTCCAGTGTCAACTTAGTGTGCGAGTAGTGTATAGTATGTTGTTTTATTCAGTTCCTTATTAAGTCACGAGGAGTAGTGCTCAAAAATTGGACGATGGACCTGCTTCATCTTAAATCCAATGTAACCAGCTTCAGAGCAGTAATTAAACTGATGAATACACCTGGAAGGGGTGGGATCAGGCAGTCTGTTTTATTTCTTGCACCTGGAGTCAAGCAGTTATAGACTATGGGACGTAATTCAGTAGCTGGAAATGCTTTTTGTAGGGCTCTTTTTATGCGCTGTCTGATTATCTCTCTAACAGTGTCATCTCTGAATTCAAGTCTCAGGAAAATTTACTTCTTAGGAAGTGTCAGCATTCTTAACTTTGCCTTCATAACATTGACACGTTTAGCTAATAACTTTGATGGATAGCCATTTCTACTAAGTAGGTCACGGATGGTGATGATTCGATACAAAAGCTTGATATATTTGATGTTATGTTTTGAAGCTACAAGATGAAACCCATCATCTTCAGGTTTATTGTTACAACAGTAAATAAGACTTTTTAATTTCGATGAGATAACTGGAGATAAACGATTTGTATGCACCTCACCATCTAAATACCATTTGCACTTGACTCTGGTTTTGCATACCTATGATTTTTGTATAAACTAAGTAAAAGACGAGTACTGTCAACACTATTATTAGTTAGTTTTTTAGAATCCCAACCTATACACTGATATATGTGAATACGAACCCAAAAAGGGTAATCAATGAACCTTACAGTCATATGGTTGTTAATTATGCACCACAAGGCATAGAACAATAATGAATTAATCCAAATGAAGCTGATAAAGAGACATAAAACAATTACTCCTTTAGATTAACTCAAATAAATTAGTAAGAAGATGGAGACTATCTGAAACATGAAGTGTATTAGAGATACACACTTCATATGATCTGATCACACATGAAATTATGGAATAATTTATATAAAAGCTGAGAAACGTTAACTAGGTTGATGGAATCAATAATTTTCTTGTTCTCTTTTTGCCCTCATTATCTTCCTTAATTATAACTTCACTGGTCCAATTGATCTTTCTCTGTATTTTTTAAAATCTAAATTACTTGACAAGTTCATGTGTGATCAGATTGTTCGAAATGTATAGCGCTAACACATCACATATTTCAGATTATTTTCATCTTCACAATACGCTTTTTAAACTTATAAAGCCAACTAGATAAATTTCTGTAAGGAAGTTAGCTTATTAAGGATCCTTTGAGTCAGAAGAGATTTTCCATTTCCATTTTTATTCCTAACGATCATCTGGGCCAGAAATTACGAAATTGAATATGTACAGCTTTAAACAGACTTATGTGACTTTTAATATTGAAACCCTTAGAAGAGTTAATTCTCTAAATTGCCTTGTTATTCTGTGTCACTATCTCATACTTCTAGGTCATAGTACCAACACTCATAAAAAGTAGGTTCAGTGCTTTGTGAAAAGCATTTATATATAGACACTTTCTACTCACTATCACATCCTTGAGTTCCAGCTTCTTGGCCGTTTGGACAGCGACAGCTATACGTTCCCGGTTCGTTGATACACCTTGCTCCATTAGGACACTGGAATGAACCAACTGCACATTCATCAATGTCTACACACTCAACAATATTTGATTCTGGACTACCAATTGCGCGATATCCTTGAGGACATGCAGGCTGACAACGAAAACTGCCTGGTATATTTATGCATCGTTCATTTTCACGACACTGATAGGCCCCAGATAAACATTCATCAATATCTAGAGTTAAAAGTGATACATTCAATTAAAGCGAGAAATAAAATTAAATCATGAAGTTATCTTCAAACTGGAAATACATGATTACAAAAACAATAGGTTTCATCAGTGAATGGGTTACACATAGTAATTTTCGAGGGTTATGAGTCAATTTTGAAATACGGTTACGTGTTGACATTCGCAATGCATAGTACCTACAGACTGGACCTTCAAATCCGTCAAGAAGGAACATGAATTGTAATTTCACTTTTAGATATTCCAAGCTTTAAGATAATTTATGCAGTTCATACGAATCAAACGTCAGCATTTCAGTTAAGACGTGAATCCTTGTATTTCATACGAATACATTACTGTCACTATGGTCTATGTATATGTAACCAAAAGGCTTTTAATGGCCTATATGACTGTCACATATGCTGAAATTTGAATGAGAATAGAATTTGAAATAATAGATGGGACAATCACCTAATGCATATCCCACAAAACCAACTTAAACGTATAGGATGGATATGTCAACTCAAACCAAGCTGCATAAGGACAAACAGTATTTCTCTGAGTGATGAAGGTTGTTAAGACCTTGTAAAACTATAAAGTATAAATGAGCTCATCCTCGCAACATAATACCATTACTCAAAGATAGCTGGTTATTTATCCTGAGATCTCAATTATTCAATCATCCAAAACTATCAAGTGGGATGGAAAAATCCCTAACACGCTTTGGCGATATAGAATCACTTTGGGGAGTTGTGGTATATTAGTTTAGCCATACTAGAAAGCATGCACTATCAGCAGACTGGTAAAAGTTACCAAATGATGACAGTATGCAATGTTGGTTCGCTGTACTGGCATTCTGAAGTAGTATAGCTTAGTTTCAGACTTCTTTATTACATGCCACATGCATCGCTTTTCTCTCCAAGCTTTTTATGAACGTGTCTGTTAGTTTAGACACATGCACTGTTCCCCCCTATCCTGAACCCCTACAAGCACAAATGCTAGGATACTTAGACTTAAAGACTATTTGGATTTAAATTTAAATTGACGGATTTTGAGTTGATAAATTTTGTGTTACGATACTTTTTTTGAATTCGATACATTCTATTCATATGATCCTCTCGATTAGAATTAAAAATGACAATTCCTGGTAAGACTCTATCTTAATGCACTGAATGAATTTTAATCTTTAAAGATAGGCCAACGATAATTATGGTTGAGCTACTTTAAGTACGTTAAACGTTTATAACTACTCGAGTATAAAAAAGTTTATTTTACCACGAAGGAAGAGTATAAATGCATGCGTTGTACATGGAAGACCTCAGTAACTTTGCAAAATTACTCCTACATCCAAATGGATTCACTTATAAACAGAATAAAAAGTCCTTTACCTTAGATAGAAAAGTTTCACCAAGACTGTCTCCTAATTTACAGTTATAAAATATGAGTCAATCACGTTTTAACCACGATTTCATATCAGATACAGAGTGAATAAAAACTCTTACAATGGACAACTGTTTTGGGAATCAGCAGACTAAGGATTTCAACCAGCAAATAAATGATATGTTCACAATAAGATCTTACGAATATTCATTTCACGCATCACTGGGTCATGGATATGCACTGCCGAGGAGTATCCAACAGGTACAAAACAGCATTCTAGTGACTTTAGATTTTCAACGTTTCTCCAAGTGATATCAGTTAACGACAAAGACCTACCTTAAAATTAAACATTCCTCAACCAACTGATCAAATGAAGTATACTGATAATGGTATACTTGTACTTTATTCCCACATGTATTTTATGAGATAAAAGCGAAAATCAAATGCACAGAATAAAAACTTGGAGATTTTCTAACCTTGACAAATTTCACCAAAGCGTCTATAACCTGGTAAGCATACGCAGTGATAACCACCAAACGTGTTAATACAAGTATGTAGTCCACAAATACTTGGCTCCATTTGACATTCATCGACATCTTGTTATTTAAAAATAATTATAAACAAGAAGTAAAACTTGGGCACTGTGGTAGATTGTAATTCCATTTTAGTCTGTTTATTAGAAATGTCACAGTGAAACAGTATCATCCAGCAAGTGATACTGTTTCCTAGCGTAACATTTCTAATAAACAGACTAAAACTGAATAATAAACAAGGGATGTACATAGAATACTTAAAAAAAGTAATCACGGGATTATTATTTAACAGAACAGAATGTTTTGCCACCGATACGAAAACAAATGTATAGAATGACTTATAAACTTAAAGACTACTTATTCAAGATAAAGTTGACATGATGATCAAAAACTAGATCAGATGAAACGTATAAACCAATCGCTGAATCTAAGTGACTTTCACCGCAGAATTTCTTCTGTCAGATACCTCCATGTAGGACACAATTTGTATGAAAATTTACCACACCTCATGATTAATAATGATGATCAGTCTGGATCCATATATTATTATTTATTATTATTAGTCCCTTGGGTTCCTAGTGGAACATAGGGCTTCAGTAGCACGCCTCCAGTGACCTCTGTTCTCTGAGATCTTTTGAACCTGGTCCCACGACAGCCCACAAGCTCTCATTTCCTCCTCGCACGACCTCCTCCATGTCACCCTCGGACGTCCAACTCGTCGCTTCCCATGGGGATTCCACTCAAGGGCCTGACGCGTGATGTCCTCAGTCGGCCTTCTCAGTGCATGGCCAATCCATCTCCACTTCTTCCTGCATATTTGTTGCGTGATAGGTTCTTGGTTGGTTCGTTCCCAGAGTTCCTTGTTGCTTATTCTTTCTGGCCATCTGATCTTCAGCAGCGAGCGTAAGCAGTTGTTGATGAATGTCTGTAGTTTATTGGAGATGCCTTTCGTGACGCGCCAAGTCTCTGAGCCATACAAGAGCACTGACTTGACGTTGGTGTTGAAAATCCGTATCTTGTTCCGCATGCTGAGTGCAGAAGATCTCCACACTGGTTTCAGGCTAATGAATGCCTGTCTTGCTTTTCCGATTCTGACTTTGACGTCCTCGTCCGTCCCGCCTGTAGTTGAAACAGTGCTTCCTAGATAAGTGAAGGAGGTTACTTCCTTTAAGTTTCTCCCGTTGACAGTGATTGGAGTTTGTTGTTGTTGTTGATGGTGGTGGTGCGGTATCTTCATCACTTCTGTCTTCTCTATATTCACCTGAAGTCCCGTCTTAGCTGCCTCTTCTATCAACTTGTTAGTTTTTGCCTGCAGATCTTCAAGTTTGTGTGACATTAGGCATAAGTCATCGGCGAAATCCAAGTCTTCTAGGTTCTTTTCCGTCGTCCAGCGTATCCCCCTCTTCTCGCTGCCTACTGTTTGCTGCATGATCCAGTCCACCACAATCAGGAATATCATGGGGGATAGTAGGCAACCTTGTTTCACTCCTGTCTTCACTTCAAAGGCATCACTGAGCTTCCCATTGTGGATTACTTGGCATGTGGCATCTTCATATAGTTGTTGAATGAGGCGGATAAAGGTTTGCGGTACTCCGTAGTATTGAAGCAGTTTCCAAATTACTTCTCGGTCGACGCTGTCAAAAGCCTTCTCAAAGTCGATGAAGTTGAGGTAAAGAGCTGATTGCCATTCTATACTCTGTTCTATGATGATGCGTGGAGTGGCGTTGCAATTTGGTCTGCATATGATTTGTACTTCCTGAAGCCTGCCTGTTCCGGTCGCAGTTTTGAATCCAGTGCATCCCTTAGCCTCTCCAGGATGATGCGGCTTAATATTTTACTTGGGGTGGACAGGAGAGTGATTCCGCGCCAGTTCTTGCAAGCACTGAGGTCTCTCTTCTTCGGCAGTTTGACAAGGTAACCCTTCTTCCAATCGTCAGGTACCTTCTCTTCCTTCCACACCTTCTGCAATAGTGGTGTGAGCATGTCCGCTGTTGTCTCTGCATCTGTTCTCAGTGCTTCTGGCGGTATTCCATCTGGTCCTGCTGCTTTCCCGCATTCCAGTAGCTTTATGGCGTTCAGGACTTCCATTTTCGTTGGGGGATTTATGTTCACTTGTAATTCAGCGGCTGCAGGAGGGTATTTCTGGACGAAGTGCAGGTGGTGGTCGATTCAAGAGCTTCTTGAAGTGGTCAACCCATCGTTTCCTCTGTTTCTCTTCTTTTGTAATTAAATTTCCTTCTTCATCTTTTATTCGTTTCATCTGTGTTGGTCTCTTCCCTGATAGCAACCTGGTTATTCGATACAATGTCGTCAGGTCTCTCTTACCTGCAGCCTGTTCTGCTTCACTTGCCAGTGTTTCGTAGAAGTGTCTTTTGTCTTTGCGTGCACTCCTCTTCACTTCTTTGTCCAGTGTTTTATACATTGTGCTCAGTTCCTCTTGTCGTTGAGCATCCTTGCACTGGTTTATCTTCTGCTTCACCATCCTCCTCTCCTCTATCAGCTTCCAGGTATCCGTCGAGATCCATTCCTTGTCTTCTTTCTTCTTCCTTCCTAATACTGTTGTGCAGGTTTCTTTCCACGTCCCTTTCAAAGACTTCCAGTGTTCTTCCACACAGGTTTCTTCAGGGATGTTGCTCGATGTCTCCCATTTTGTCTTGATGGCTGCCGTGAAGATCTCCTTTGTAGTTTCATCCTTCAGTTTCCGAGTGTTGTACTTGAATTGAGGTCTATCACCAGCTTCCTTGAAGGCTTTTAACGTTATATACGTATACATAACAATGAAGAAAATTCAGTAAACCAAATACAGAAACTGATAAAATGAGTGAGGTATAGAAACAGTCGCTATACTTAACAAACGCAGTCAAACTTCTGCTTAAATCATAACAACTGTTAATTTTCAGTGTGTTTCTTTTTGATTAGGTCGTCCCATAGATAATACTTCATGTTGACTTTGTAGTAAATAAACATCATAAATGTATGAATCCTGCCATCCTAACTTTTTAGAAACTAGGAAGTGAGAGAAGTGAACGGAAAATTGAAGTAAACCAATGAAATCAGAGTATTCTTCCAAGCTAGAAATAAATTCTACCAGTAAATATGTTCATTACTCAATGATATATCTGTCGTTGGGATATTTATTTATTCTAACAAATTGTACTCTTGATTACATATCATGAATGTGATTTGTAAGAAGCTCAAAATCGTGAAACAAACGATTTTTAGCGTTAAAGTGATCCACATATGGCAACTATTTAATTAGCTGTATGAATCTCAACTTAAAGACGTGAAGATCACGTGGCAGTAGACATATGTTTAGCTGTACTTTCGGATGTTTAAACTATCAACAACCTCAACCGCTTTACAGTCCGGCCTCTAGACTGTTGTACAATAATTGAAATCTTCAGATGAAATTACTAAACCACTGCAACTAAGTTATATCTACCGACTGCTTTCATAACTTGGAGTACGACTCACAACCAATGTGATCGTGAGTGAAAACATGCACGTAAAATTAACGTTGGGATGTTATCTTCCTGGAAATGCTAGAAATTCTGAAGATGAAAATAAGTTAATAAATCTTTTCTACTATGATCAAGTTCGAGCAATATTCCCAAGAGGTTTTAAAAACCTCTAGGATACTAACTAGGAAGCCTACATTTTCTTAACATGGCTCTAACAAAAACCAGAACATGCTGCGACCGATACGTTGCATCGATTTGGGTAACATAGCCTTCGATGTGCGCATATGCTTGAAATTTTGATACACTTTATCTTGAACAACTGAAATGTGTTGAGTAATTAAACTTTTGTAAGTACTGCCTTGGTTTTGTTTGCTCAGAGAACCCAACAAAACCACCAGCCTGAGCTACAAATACTCTCCGTAATTTACAGCCTTAGTTTGTATGTATAAATTAATGGAGAATTGCTTCAAAAGAAAATCAGGCTTACGGACAGGTCAGCAACCTGACTAGATTGTGAAAAATACCTTTGACTGAAACCACGGTTTTACTTCAGTCACCGGGTATTGGTTCAGCTATCATTGGCAGAGAAAGTTTTAAACAGTTCGCAAGCAAATGAAACTGAAATCTATTCAGGATGACAAGAAAGCATAGCTTGGTTAGAAAAATAAAGTGTCTATAATTTTGAAGCACAATTTTTACAAATCACTTTGCAGTCAATTCACAAAATCCATCATAATTTCTCCATCAAACATTTTATTTACCTTCACAACGGTCTTCAATGGAATTTTCTTTCAAACCAGGCGCACAAACTTGTTTACACTCGTAACTTCCCGGTGTGTTTATACATTTATGTCCATTGGGGCACAAAGTTTCATTGCTACCAAGTATCGCACACTCGTCAACATCAATACAAGAATGTCCATCAACAGATAAACGGTAACCAGTTCGACATTTACATGTATAATGTGGCACTGTATTTTTGCACAAATGATCACATTTATTTAAATTTGGATAAGCACATTCATCTACATCTGTAAGCCGATAAAGAATAACAAAAACACAGTTGTTTTAGACATCAGAAGTATGAACAAGTTATTCGACTAAACTCATATAGCCGCTCTTTCAGGCGTAAATAACCACATATATCAGTAGCCTACTATTAGCATGAAACATTTAGCTCTAAAATAAAAGGAATTCACCAGTGAGTAGTTCACTGGTCTAAATCATTTACTCAACCTTAATTAAAAGTTACTAGAAGATACATAGGAAGAATTTCAGTGATGACCGACAACTTGAAGTGAATCACAAACGTTCTATAGCGTCAACCTTTTGCATTTCATAAGTTTTAGTAGAAACCAAACTCAAAGCAATGATTTTGAAATCAGAGCTTGGATCGTAAATAGAAGTACTCAGTATGAATCTATCGGTTTACAGAAAGATTATATAAAATTGCTTCTATCTGAACTTCACCAACTTTCGTTTAGTCAGCCATAAAGAAGCACTAGTTAAAGCCATGTCCCAAAGAGTGGGACGAATATACTCAGTTCATAATTTGCAAAATGAGCGGGAGATAATTGAGAAATGTCTCAAGAAGAATGTATATCTGCAAAAATTTATCAGCAATCATAGTGGGACCGAATACAACGATTTGAAGAAATTTGCGGTTATCAAAAAGTCAAACTATTCAACTCAGTTTGAAAGGTGATACTATTGCAGAAACAATAAACCAAAGACCCTTGCAACGTACGGTTCAAAACGTAACAAGCAGCTAGATTAGTTCCTGCGTTTCAAATAGCGTGTTTACTGGTTCAGTCAAAAATCAAAAAGCCTCCCTTTTACCTCCAACCACATGTACGAATTCGTCAGAGCTGAAACATCGGACGGACCGAAAGGACAGACAACTTCATATGTCTTGGAACACGTTACAAACATCTAAGGATTAAAGGTATCTCAAAGTTTCAGCAGTTTGAGTGCTTGACACCTGATAGATAGATAAGTCTCTTAAGATTTAAAATAATCGACAAAAAGAACATTCCTTTTCCTTCTCGTTCCTTCCAAATTATCTAAAAGACTAAAACTAGATTCCTGAGTCCAAAAAGAAGCAGCTGCTAGTCCTACTGCTACTCTGGTAACTTGCACGTAAACTTTGCTCATAACCAATCATATCATCTCTCCTTTGTTAGTAATAAATTTTCTATTTTGCACTAAACTTTTATTGTGTTCCACTGAGCTGAACTCATTTTGCTTTATTTTTGAAATATTTAGTCATCTATTAACTGAACGTTTTACATCTCTGAGTAGTTTTTATTACCCCCTATCTTGTCACTTTCCATTAAGCAAGAATTTCTTATTCATTAAAAATAAGTATAAAAACTTAACATATTGAATTGCCTTCACTTCCATTCGTGATACTTACAAATCTTGATAAATTTTCGGTGTCCTCCAAGTTTGGACGTTTGTTCGTGGTCGTTTTGCCACAAGGCTGGACGTAAATGCTGATGAAGTCACTTAGCCTTGTGATGAAATGTACACGAACAAACTTCAAAGCTGGAAGAACACGAAGCAATTATCATCTTCATCCTGAGCTACAAATCTCCTTTACAATCTTATTCCGCCTTTACGGGTTGAACTTATCCAGAGACTGACTTCATGATGATAAATAAAACCAAGTAATTTTAATTTCTATCATAATCTCACAAAATCTTTTAAGCTGTAAACATATGAAAATTCCCAGATAAAGTAAAAATGATACCATGTTACTAATACTCCTTGCAATTTCATAGATGGAAGTATTTGCATTAAAATATAAGATTGTAATACTACTTTCATAAATCAATACAAAGCCTTGTTAATAATCCTTTTACCTCTACAGTAATCTCTCCTACTATGTAATCTAACTGCTGGTCCAGTTATCCTAGCCTGATGTATTTCAAATCCAGATGGACAAACTTCAGGACCTATCGGTTTTTTAATAACACTTTCAGCATGAAATTGTATTTGTCCAGCTTGTAAATCAGCCTTATTTTCCAAACCATCCACTTGAAGTTCTTGAGTTAAATAATTCTGTCTTCTCTCTGGAGCGATTTGAATTGTAGAGGTCCATGAATAAGGTTCCATTTGAGACTTTTCTCTTTCCAAGTTATATACTGTAAATGCTCTGGATGAATGACCATGTAAACTGCCTAAAAAGGTGAAGGGGAATTATAAAGTTGATCACTGAATAAAGTCAGATACAGTTATTTGCAATATAGAGTGACTGGAATGAATTTAAACTCCATTAAGAAGATTAATAAATATAGGAAATTAGTGACTACAGTTAGATTAAAATTAAAAACTATAACGGGCAGTGAGTAACTATGGAAAATTAAGCCAAAGGGAAATAAGAAATTATCAGTGTGAAAAACATTTAATCAACTGATATAGAATGTCAACAAATTAGCTGATTCATGTACCTGAGTCGCGTAAACTACATCTTTGAAGAGGGTCACAGAAGGATAAGGCGATGCTTGAAATGGTTTTACACACAAAGTTCAGTTTTCATGGTTTTCATCGCAATAGCGGTTATGAAGAAGGCAGATGGAACTTATGTATAAAAAATGTATTGCAGGCTTGTCGTCGTTCTCCCTGCATATCAAGAAATTAGGGGTAGACCTAATCTACTTCATATTAATCTTGTATTGGTCATTTTTCTACTGTGTACTTAGGCCATTCGCACAATAGATGTCGTAGGTATGGATCCTTTTACGCATAAAAATGTTTAAAACATTTTTTGTGGAGTTGCAACAGTCATAATTTTTGTATTAATATCTGATAGTGTGACAGTCAAACCCCCAGTCATGAAAATTCCTCACTTATTATACTATCCTAAGAAATAAGTAACTGTTATTCTGTGACGGTTATTTGGTTCTCTTTATCCAAGTTGCACAATGTCGCTAAACAGCTAGGTTACAACCTCAGAACTCATTGTGAACTAGGAGTTAAGCCTAAAGATTCACTAATATGTGAGAAGATATTTGTAGATTATGAATTTACTACCTACGGTCGTTTTGACTACATACTGAATTGTAAAGCTTCCTATTCTGAAAAATGACCTCAGTATAGGTACTGTAGCGTCATACACTTCCCCAAAATCAATAGCCTAGGGTTTGACGACTTCGACATTGATGCTGACCTTGATAGTTTAACTGGACTCGCTAAGCTGAAGGCACCCGGTCAAGCATCCTCGCCATTTGGCACGCTGTCGTGTTACGTTGCATTGCTCGTATTCGACTCTCTAGCCAGTTAGTTGGAACGCATCGGTATTTTGGCATAACCATCCAAATATACTATTCCATCCGACTACGCTATCGTGTTCTTCCTTGGTCTCGTATTCGTGGGTATATAACAAGTTCGAATAATTAGTGATTGGTCTTTGCGTCTGTCAAGTTCGCACCAGGACAAATCCTAAATTGGTGAGCGTGCCCGACGTGATCACATATCCCGACCAATAACAAGTATTGAATTGGTGAGCCTGTTCCATTTTATATTTGTTTATTGTTTTCATTTCGATAACATTTATATATCCATTTACTACACTTTCTCATGTCCGACCACACTCCCAAGCTTATTCGTATTAAGCCGACCTCGAACACGATCCAACTCGTGCCATATTGGCCAGACAATGCAGAAACATGGTTTCTGTATGCCGAGGCCGATTTTCGAGAACAGGGTGTCTCAGATCCTCAATCTCGATTTCTTGCTGTCATACGTTCACTACCGCGAGAATTAAACAGGTTTGTTACAGCAAACATGTTTAATCCTGAAGTAAGTGACCCTTATGCACTTCTAAAGGCTGCACTCTTGAAGAAAAGCGATCTCACAGATCGCCAACGTCTAGACGAATTGCTTCGTAACATCGAGCTAGGCAGCCACTCAGCTACTGAAGTCCTCGCACGCATGCGAGAAGTAATCGGTGCACGAACATTTGACGATGGTTTCTTCCGAGAACTATTTCTCTCGAAACTACCACAACCGGTGCAAACCGTGTTGGTGACACTCCAGTCAGTCCCACTCGACGACCTGGCAGCTTCAGCAGATAAAATACTGGAGATATCCAGCAGACCCGTCTCCAACGTATATTCTATCTGTGACAAAACAGAGCGCCAGGATTCGGAGGTGACCAAGTTGTGCAACTCTGTGAAACGGTTGCTACGATCTCGAAGTCCTAGATCACGTAGCACTTCACAGAAACGCACCTTGGCGCATCGCAGCAAGTCGCGTGGTAGCCCTAAAACGAAACCCAACAGGGTGGAAAACCCTGAATGGTGCTGGTTTCATAACACTTACGGGGATGAAGCCAGAAAATGTCGTAAACCATGCCGTTTTAAGAAGGACACAAACTCGGGAAACGGTCACGCCGGCACGTGCTCACGGCAACCGTAGCCGGCGGAAAAAGCCGTTTGCTCTACGTCACCGACATTAAAACGAAAGTCCGCTACCTCGTCGACACCGGCGCAGAAGTTAGCGTTCTTCCAGCAACGACAAAGGAGCGTCATCTCGACCCATCCTTCAATCTTCAAGCAGCCAACGGCAAGGCAATCGCGACATTCGGGAGACGGTATGCCTACCTCAACTTAGGTTTACGCAAACCTATTCACTGGATTTTCCTCCTGGCAGACGTCTCTATGCCCATCATTGGCATAGATTTGCTGAACCATTACGATCTACTCGTAGATGCTCGCCGTCGACGACTGATAGATAACAACACAAAGTTATCTATTGGCGGCACCACCTATGTAGGTCCGAGTTTAGCCATCGTTAGGACTAAACAATCAGGCGACGCGTCCTACCAGGCAGTTCTGGAGAAATATCCAGAGTTACAACAACCGAAACACACTCTTCCGTGCATAACCAGCAATGTTATGCATCACGTCACAACCACAGGTCCACCTGTGGCATCCAAAGCTCGCCGTTTAGCCCCCGATAAGCTGCAAACGGCGAAAAATGAATTCGACCATATGCTGGAACTGGGCATTATCAGACCGTCGAACAGTCCTTGGGCATCGCCATTGCACATGGTGCCCAAAAAGGATAGCAACGACTGGCGTCCGACCGGTGATTACCGAAGGCTTAACGCCAAAACAACTCCGGACTGCTACCCTATACCCACGTTTACGACTTGACCGCAACCTTATGCGGCATGAACATTTTCTCGAAAATCGACTTGGTCAAAGCGTACAACCAGATACCTATGGCAGCAGAAGATATCGCGAAAACAGCCATTATTACTCCTTTTGGCCTGTTTGAATTCCTGCGCATGCCTTTTGGTCTTCGGAATGCAGCACAAACATTCCAACGCTTTATGGACGACGTCTTCCGTGGTCTGAATTTTGTTCATGTCTACATCGATGACTGTCTAATTGCGAGTCCAGATAAGGAAACACACCTTAAACATTTGGACCTCGCATTCGAAAGACTCAAAAAACATGGCATCACAGTTAACTTACAGAAGTGTGAAATAGGAGTTGAATCACTCAGCTTCCTTGGGCATACCATTGACAACAAAGGTATACGCCCATTGAGAGATAAAGTGGCGGCTATCACAAACTATCCAGAGCCGACCACTGTGAAACATCTCCGCACTTTCAATGGCCTGGTAAGTTATTACCGAAGGTTTATCCCTAACTGTGCCTCTGTCATGAGACCACTCACAGATCTACTTCGAGGAACTGCGAAGTTCGTGTCTCTGGACAACGCGGCTAGACTTGCTTTCTCCAAAGTCAAGGAAGCCATTTCGAACGCAACCATGCTTATGCATCATGACCCCAATGCTCCTCTGAGTATTGCTGTTGATGCATCTGATTCAGCAATTGGAGCAGTTTTGCAACAGTTGACTGACAACCAGTGGCAACCGTTAGCCTTTTTCTCGAGGCGGCTGCAAGACGCGGAAACAAGATACAGTACATTTGGTAGGGAACTCCTAGCCATGTACTGTTCTGTACGCCATTTTCGACATTCTGTGGAAGGTCGTGATTTCATTATTTTCACAGACCACAAACCGTTAACGTTTTCCCTCAGCTCGGCGTCTGACAAATACTCCCCTCGTGAGTCGCGACAGCTGGATTACATTTCCCAGTTCACGTCAGACATCCGCCACATTTCTGGAGCAAACAACTCCGCAGCCGACGCACTATCTCGAATAGCTTCGATAAACTATATCGAGGGTATTGATCTCGTTGAACTAGCTCGGCGTCAAAAGGAAGACCTTGAGCTGCATCATGAGTTGTCGTCCACAACTCTCAAACTGCGACTTTGTCCTGTTGGATCAGACAAGGATGCAATTTTGTGCGATGTCTCTGCTAGTCAACCACGCCCAATAGTTCCGAAGAGTTGTCGACGCAACGTCTTCAATACGTTGCACAAACTCTCTCATCCAGGTGTACGAGCCACCATTAGGCTTATCGCACAACGTTTCTGCTGGCCTGGGATGAACAAAGACGTTAAGGAGTGGGCCCAGTCGTGCTTAGCTTGTCAAAAGTGTAAAGTCACGCGACACACGAAAAGCCCTTTAGGCTCATTTCTAGCCCCAGACATGCGTTTCGACCACGTCCATATAGATATTGTAGGACCCCTACCAGAATCTAATGGATGTACCTACCTTTTCACCTGTGTTGATCGTTTCACACGATGGCCGGAAGCAGTACCCATTAAAGATATTACTGCCGAAACAGTTGCTCGTGTTTTCGTCGAAAGATGGATCGCGAACTTCGGATGTCCATCCTACGTCACAACCGACCGTGGGCGCCAATTTGAGTGCGGACTATTTCACGCTCTAACGGCACTTTTAGGTTGCACTCGGTTCCGAACGACAGCCTACCATCCACAAGCAAATGGCATGGTAGAGCGTTTCCATCGACAGCTGAAAGCTTCCCTTTCAGCTACAAACATACCTCAGTGGACCGAGGCTCTGCCTCTAGTCCTACTAGGTATTCGTAACGCGTTGAAAGTTGATGCTGGATGCACTCCTGCAGAACTCGTCTATGGGACCACTCTTCGCCTACCAGGTGAGTTTGTTTCCCCTTCAACTTTCAAACATGTTTCCGACAGGGCATCTTACGTGACTAGGCTTACAAACGCAATGCGTTCAGTTAGGCCTTCTCCGATTAGACCGCAAACGACTGATGTTTTCGTCCACCCCAGTTTA